ATAGTAGTCTAAACATGCTGTGTTGCAACTTACATGGTGAACTATTAATTACAAAATGACTAGAAGCTTTGGTGCATCCATTTGTACTTCCCTGTCCCCCAAGTACTCCCAAATAAGTATAATTGGCCAAAGATCAATAAAATGTATTTTTAGTTCATTTTATTTCTTGCAATGCAAGTCCGCCCCCATGTTTGCCATAGCTATTTTCAGTATAGCCTTCATCAAGTTGTATATATTATCCGTGGAGAACTTTTTCTGATCATTATCAATATTTATCCATACATTCTTAAGTAGTTTTAGTGGTTTTGAATCAAAATCTCACTAGTAATGTCTTCAAATAGTTCATAATTCTATAAAGCTTTTCCTTGACATTATGTGCATTCCTTGTTGCAAAAGGATGAAATAATGCTCAAATTATAATAAAGAAAACAAAAATCTTAAAATGCCTTAAGTGTGTAGGCAGGTCAGACTGTGTCTGTAAACATCAAAGTTAACAATTCAGGTAGTTACTCCTCACTAGGGCTCGCCTAACTACGAACACACACTTGAAACAGTAACTGATCACCTTTTCTTCCACTTGTTAACTGACCTGTTATCTGTTTTGGTAGCAAAGACTTTGGTTCCTGTTCTTTGCACACTTGAATTGAAATGAGCCAAATGGTCATTTGAGTACTGTGAGCAGATCTGGACACCTTGCGAAGGATAGACTGACTTGGAGGGAGTACAATGTAGGCTTACAAGAATGATACCCACACTTTCAGGGATGAATTTATGAAGAGAGATTGTATAAATTAGACTTGTTTTCTCTAGAGTTTAGAAGGTCAAGGGTGATCTGACCGAAGGCTTCAAGATATTAACAGGAAAAGACAGTGTAGATATAGATAAACCATTTCCACTCGTTGGGGATTTCAAGAACCAAGCAGCACAGTCTAAAAGTTCGGGCCATACCATTCAGGAGAGATGTTATGAAGCACTTCTACACATTTCTATACACAAGTGTGATAGAGGTTTGGAACTCCCTTCCACAAATGGCAGTGGATGTTGGCTGAGTCGTTAGTTTTAAATCTGAGGTAGATACATTTTTGTTAAACAAATGCATTAAGGGCCAACGGCAGTTTTATGAAGTGAGGCTATGATATGATCTCATTGAATTGCAGAACAGGCTCGAGGGGCTGAATGGCCTACGTCTGTTCGTATTTTCCAATGTCGTCCTTGCTTTATCTCATGTAAGTGGAAAACAATCTAAATGGGCAGTGAGCAGCACCTAATCTTTCAAAGTACTATATAGCATGTTCCACTATAGATTGTGAATAGCTAGTCAGCTCCAGATGAGTGAATAATAAACAGTAAGGTGTTGTGATTCTCCTGAATGAGCACCCATGGGAAAAAAAGGCATACATCTGGTGAAAAAGTCATTTGCCTTCCCTGGTGAGAGGAGTGTTACAGAGTGTCTGCCTATTCATGTGAACTCAAATGTTGCTCCTTTGAGGTGAGAAGAAATAATTTGCACAGTATTATTAATTGAAGTGCATGTGCAGAAAGTATACATGCCACCATAATGAGAGAGCAGAGGGGGATTTTTAAAAAAAATTCATTTGGGGTATCTTTTGCTTGAAACAAATAACAAAACATTAGTGCCCTTTCTGCAAGGAAACACTCAACCCATTTTGTCCCCAGTACCACTAGATGTTCAACAACTTATTAAAAACGATTCTGTCCAGAAACATTTCTCACCAAGAATTTCTGCCCTCACACTCCACCCATTTAGCTCAACAAGCAGCTTAAATCCCTGATTTTATCTTGCGGTATGAGGGATGGAGTGTGAGGAAGCGTCCATGATGGTGTCAGTGATCATTTTAAGTGCTGGGCTTCTCCGCCTGTTTTATCACAGAAATCACCCCAAGCCTGGTACACGTTAAGCAGTAGGTTAAATTTATCCATCCATTCATTAATCAGCAGGTGAGAGCAGGATTTTGCATATCAGGATAGAATTATTATGAAAATAAGGTAGGTGGTGCGATGTGGGGAATGTGCGAGATTCAAAATCGACTATGATCAGAGAAGGCAGATATAAGGTTTCCTCTTTGGGCCTGGAGAGTATAGTATGATAATATTTCTTCACAAGAATTTTTTAAAAAATCTTTTAAGGTTTATTGATACCAGTTGACTCAAATCATATCAGACCTCAGATTTTGCTGGTGGATGTCAGTCTGTTTGAATTGTATCGTTAAGGTAAGGGATAAATGGATGGAGGGCATTGACTAATGAAGTATTTTGAGGACATTGAAATGGGACTGCTGCGACATTTTAGGTGCGGCTTTTAGGCAAGGATATACAATGCTGCATTCTGTGAAAACATCTACATTCAAGCACGGTGGCTCAGTGGTTAGCACTGCTGCCTCACAGCATCTGCTAGCTGAAATGGGTGCAGGCCATACCGAATAGACATTTTAACCTCCCTACCCTCCGCTATCCATTCAGCTGGTTGGACAGGGATAAAAATTAACTCTTGTTTGTTTTATTCTCCACTAAACAGCAATTTGCATTTTTAAACAAAGGTACAATTTTCTGCTAGAGAAGAGGTGTTCAGTTACAAAGTATTCATGTTGCCAACAGACAATTTTCTTTCAACAATGAAGTTCAGAGGCATAGCCCAGTGGTAGGGAGGATTTCTTCCTGAGCTAACCGCAGACTGAGTGAAGGATTCCAACTTCACTGCCATGCGGTGGGAGTGAAAGGGAATAAAGCAGCGTTTAGATAGCAGATTCCCTTGGAGTTTTTCATATCTAGTGTGGATCCTGACCTGACGGTAGGTCACTGTGCCCTGGGGTATGGATACAGATAAGCCTTTCCCAAACCAGCATTAAAGGAGTCATCCAGAACTGTATGTGCACAGTCCCCAAACAGCTGAGTCTTAAAGTAGTGCTGGAAGGAGTCTGACTTCAGGCCAGTCCTCCACACGAGGATGGTGCATAGCATTCCAAAGTCACAAGAGAAGCATACTTCCATATAAAGTTAGGGTAATGGTTCCTGTGGTACAGTGGCAGTGTCCCTACCTCTGAGCTATGATGCCTGGGTTCAAGTCCCACCTATTCCAGAGGTGTGTCTGAACAGTTTGACTAACAATATCTATAAATTCAAGGCAACAAACTGACTCTTTTCTTGCTACATAATTAAAGAAAAAGATAATTCAGAGATTGAGGGAGAAAAGAGTATTCTGACAATACTAGAAGTATGGCATGTCCAGCAGCATCTCACACTCAATGGTTTTAAGTCTCCAGAAAACAACTACAGGATATTCCAGAGATCCCTGCATAGATTTTGAAGATATCCACTTACATTAGCTAGGAGCTATTTAACATCTTCAATTTAAGGTGCTTTGATTTTGCAGCAGACCTGTGGTCTGAATTTCTAACACCCACATCTTTTGTAGAGATAGTAAGAACTGCAGATGCTGAAGTCATAGATAACACGGTGTGGATCCGGAGGAACACAACAGGCCAGACAGCATCAGAGGAGCCATGAAGTTGACGTTTCGGGTCGGGACCCTTCAGAAAAATCTGAAACGTCAACTTTCCTGCTCCTCTGATGCTGCCTGGCCTGCTGTGTTCTTCCAGCTCCACACTGTGTTATCCCCCACATCTTTTTTGGCTGATGTGAGGCCCCTTAAGATATCTGGTGGGATTGCAATTAGCTTGCAGATAGTTGTACAAAGTTTGTGTAGTAGATGTCAGTCCCACTGGCATAAGCCTTAATGTAACATAAAGGCAACTTTAATTGTCTGTAAAATACTTGGGAAGAGAAATAACATAAGAAAAGCAGACTTTGAGAAATGATAAAGTATGAAAGTAAACCACAACACATTTGAGAAATCTCCAACATGCCTAGGGTACATTAGCTTATGTTTGTATTTCACAATCTGCCACTCCCAAAACATACTTTCCACATACATGCCATCTCCTCACATATTTGATATCATGGTCATGTAAATATCATGGGGAAGAGGGATAGCATATGAATGAGTTCAGTATCTGGACATTGTACTTACTCTGGAATCTCGTTTGCAAGATGGCTTGAGAGTAGAGAAAACAAGGACATACATAAGACACAAAACAGACACTACACAATGAGAAAACTGGGACAAGCACAAATCACTCGTTGAAGAAGAATTTCCAGCAACCAGATAAAACAAAGAAAGGCAAGAAGGCTTCTTGATACAGAAAAACTGCTTCATAGTAAGATTTCTGTATGGATTGACCAGTTACATATGAAGACTTAAAGTGACACACAATAGACTTAACCATTAGAACAACACAAAATCAAGAGCCAAATTGAATGTTTTTACAGTGAATCTTGACCTTCCTAACCTTACTTAGCCTCGAATACTGCATTTTCAATACACAAGTTCAGTCAAATCTTGAAAGGTCTTCAGAGTTGCAGCTGCCTGTTGGGGTTAGCATCACCTTATAGTAATTATTCTTTATGTTTGATGGTCGAAAGTGACCTTGAAAATGGAAGGAAGCCCTCATTCCCCAAAGCAGCAATTTGTAGCGAAAGTAGATCAACTTGGGTGATACAAAAATAGTACTTATACCGGAATTAGATATTGATTACTTATGATTTCAAGGCATGTGCAAGCCAGGACTAAGACAACTTCAAGGGCGTGTGTGTGTCTGTGTGTCTGTGTGTGTCTGTGTGTCTGTGTGTGTGTGTGTTTCTTGTCCCACTATCTGTGAGCATTGTCCTCACAGTTAAAGAAGCATATTAACAAGGTTGGCTGGAATATTGATTGGCAAGTTAGCCAAAAGACCTCCACATACATCAGTAGTGTTAAAGCAGAGATTGGATAATAGTCATTCTGCTTATTTGCTCAGGTGGTGAATAGTGTACAAATTTCCAAAGCTAGGGCAAAAATAAATTTCAAGACAATTTGGTATTTGCTTATGTCAAGTACTGAACATTTTATCGACTATTATTCATGTGCAAAGAACACGACATACCTTCTTGTTACTGAATTGTGATATTCTATGAATGTCCGTCCATTAAAAGCCACAGATTCACTTTCACCTGCGGACTTCTCTTCAAGTGCTACAGAAATAGGGGAAATTGTAGTCAAATTATAGTCAGCCATTTTAGAATAAAATTAAATACATGGCATGAAAACAACAAATGCTGGAGATTACAGCGGGTCAGGCAGCATCCGTGGAGAGAGAGCAAGCTAATGTTTCGAGTCTAGATGACTCTTCATCAGAGTTATCTCGGCTTGAAGCGTTAGCTTTCTCCCTCTCCATTGATGCTGCCTGACCCACTGAAATCTCCAGCATTTGTTGTTTTCAGTATAGATTCCAGCATCTGCTGTAATTTGCTCCTAAATACATGGCACAGTGCAAATGTCCCATCAAAGGTATTTGGAACACATTTGTTTTCAAGTCTGAGCAGAGAGACATACAATGCGAAATTTCACAACTGAGGGGTCTCAAGTCATATCTTTAAGTGGCTGATGACGCTACAGAATTTGCTTGCTGGCCTGATTAGGTACAAACTGAAATCCAGTTGACTTATATCCTTAGTAACAGAAGGCTGACAAATTAGACAACGGAGCCTGAGCTTAAAATAACAACGGCCTAGCCCTGTCACTCTTGGACACATCTCAAACTAGCCTCCTGAAAAACAAGTCGCGATTTGTGGGGCAGACAGTATGATGTTCAACAAATAGCAGTGAAAATCCAGCAGTCAATCAAATATGCAACTTGTGCACTCAAGCATATCCAAACAGATCTGTAATTTATCTTGCATCTGTCTCCTAAATTTTAGGATGTATTAGTGAAATTTATTTTAAGGGATTTCCTAATGATGAAGTCAGCCACTACACTGCTTGATATGGGATTGACTCATGTAAAGTAGGAAAGTCCCAGATCTGATTCCCCATCTGTATTGCATTAACCGAGATGGGTGACTATATGACACTAGCTACCCACAGTAAAACTAGACTGGAGGGGTGAGGCTCAATTTGTGGGGTTCATGGGGGTTTGGCGGGGGGTGGTGGTGGAAGGTGTAGAAGGCGAATAAAACAGCTGGGCTTTCCATTCCAACTATTCCCCTACTAAGGAATGTATCTGAGCTGAACTGACATGTGGATATTGAACAAGTTGGTGAGGCATGTCCTGTGCACATCTATGATAATGCATTGCCTGGTTCACACAAACTGTTGTCACTGGAGTGAAGTACTGCAGGTGCCTGACATACCCAGTACCTTCAAAAGGAGGCCTGGAACAGAAATTGTAACACACTGGCTGCTTCCAAATTTATATTATGAAATTCACAATTATTTAGCTGTTTATAGAATATTAAAATATTAGTGTCTGCTTAGATTGACATACTGAACGGTATTTACAAAGTTCATGTAACAATATATATAAGGCAGATTGTTCATTACACTATTTATTTAAGAGCATTTTTGCAAGTATAAAGTACAGGTAGCTTTTTACACGCAACATTCTTTTATCAATAGTAACAAGTGTCAATTCAGTTTTCAATAATGGCTTGGGCAATGAGTTGACACGGCCTGGAGTGACCCAGCTCTCTTTGTCTGTCTGTGCCAAGTTCATTGACCTATAATTGAGTACTGCCAGCAGTGTGGTTTGGGTAGTAGTGAACTTGCCTTTGAATGACATGATTTGGGGTTCAAATTCCACTGCAGGGCATGAGCATGAAAATCAATGCTGATGCTGTGTTGCAGTACCAAGGGAGAACTTCACTGATGGAGGTGCTCCCTTTCAGGTATCTATCAAGCCAAGCTTCCATCCAGAAGGTTCCCATGGCACTATTTCAAAGACACTTTGGCCAGTTATCCCCTGTCCTGGCCAACATTGATTATCTCAATTGGCTGGACACTGGTTTGTATCAAGGTGATACCAACAGTGTGAGTTCAAGTCCGGTACTGGTGAAGTCACTATGAAGTTCCCACCTCATCAACCTTGCCTTCTCTAAATTAAACAGTCTGTAGTCATCTGGGACTATGGTGACTTTTATTTCCACATTTTTAAAAATTCATTTGCAGGATGTGGGAATCACTGGCTAGGCCAGCACTTATTGCCCGTCCCTAAATGTCCAGAAGGCATTTATAAGTCAACCATATTGATGTGGGTCTGGAGTCACGAAGGCCAGATTTCCTTCTCTAAAGGGGAATTAGTGAAACAGGTGGGATGTGACAGGAGCTAGATTAATGCAAGCATTCTTCTTTTCTGCAATTGACCTCAACCCTAGGCTGGAGAAGAGGAAAATGAGTCAGTGTTGCCACTTCCGGGGTGGAATCTTCCATGAGCAGTGAGAGATCCTTTCAGTTCCTTTCAAGGGTCTTCCTCTGGAATTTGATTGCACAGGATCAGTGAATGGCCTTCCTGTCAGGAGCTGCCAGCCAATCAGATGCAAAAGCTCCAGCACTCAGCAGCGCCAAGGAGAAAGTTGTGGCTGCTATTGAAAGTGCAACTCGAAAGAGTCTCCCAGGATCCAGAATCAGAGAAAGTGATATGTGAAGTGGGGAGGGGTTTTAAAGTGTTGGAGTAACGAGGAGAAATGGGGCAGGAGATACAGAAGCAAAGGTAAAGGAGATGGGGGGGTCTCTCAGCGACCAACCCCTGTCTGACGTCCGTGGCCACTGAGTGCCCTTAATCAAAAAACTCCACCTCGCACCCCCCCTCTTCCAAACACACACTCTCAAACACACACACACTCTTTCTCCATCTGAGGAATGCTGCATAGCGACTGGCCTGCCTGCTGCTGGGTTAATTCCAGGATTCCCAGCTGGAAGAGTCCCTTGAGTGGTTCTTAACTGGCCAATATCTGCAATTCAGGAGTGTAAATTTTTTTTTGAGAAAGCTTTCATGATATATGGGTGCCAGTGACTAAAACAGAATGTATTATTCAGAAGGCAGTTAAAAGTCAACAATATTGCTATGGTTTTGGAATGACATGTAGGCCAGAACAAGTAACAATGGCAGATTTCCTTCCCTAAAGGGCATCAGTGAAACAGATGGGTGTTTATAGCAATTGATGGTCGTTATTTGTTCACTATTCGGCTAGCTTTTTAATTCGAGATATTTATTGAATTCAAATTTCACTATCTGCCAGGGTAGGATTGAAGCCCATTATTTCACATCTGTCTGGGATTCTGGTGGATTGAAATTACCACTATGCAACGTCCTCCCCTTACTCTGCCTGCCTGGATGAGTGCAGGTCCAACAACATGCCAGAGGTACAACACCATGGGTGGCACAGTGGTTAGCACTGCTGCCTCACAGCACCAGGGGCTAGAGTTTGATTCCATGCTCAGGCAACTATCTGTGTGGAGTTTGCACAGTCTTCCTGTGTCTGCGTGGGTTTCCTCCAGGTGCTCCAGTTTCCTCCCACAGTCCAAAGATGTGCAGGTTAGATGGATTGGCCATGCTAAATTGCCGAGTAGATTGGGTGGGTTATAGGGGGATGGCTCTGGGTTGGATGCTCTGAGGGGCGATATGGACTTGTTGAGCCGAAGGGCCTGTTTCCACACTGTAGGGATTCTCTGATCTATGACCATTCAGGAAAAGCCAGCTCACTTGATTGGCACCTCAGCGTTCACTCCCTTCACCGCTGATGCACAGCAGCAGCAGTGTGTACCATCAACATGATATACTGCAGCAATGCACCAAGCCTTCTTAGACAGCACCTTCCAAACCCATGACCTCTACCATCTCAAAGAACAAGAAAAGCAGATATGTAGGAAGTCCACCACCTGCAAGTTCGCCTCCAAGTCGCTCACCATCCTGACTTGGAAATATATTGCCGTTCCTTCACTGTCGCTGGGTCAAAATTCTATAACTGCCTCCCTAACACCACTGTGGGTATTACACTGCAAGGGGTGCAGCAGGTCAAGTGGCAGTGAGCTGCCACCTTTTCCAGGGCAATTTGGGATTGGAAACAAATGCTGGCTTAGCTAGTGACACCCATATCGCATGGAAATCTCTTAATAATAGGAAGGTCAACCATGGAACTTGCTGTTCAGAATGTACTTCTGGCAGAGGTGGGAAGGCAGTGGGAACTGGGTACACCATACCATTGGGTATGCCTTTCCCACCTCCTTTCTCGCCACCTCCAGAAACACAGGATTTCTCTCTTGATCACCACAAAGTGGCTGATGGAAATGTGTGGAAGTTGGATTTCGGTTTTGTGCTTTGTGTAGGTGTCAGACCTCTGCTAATCCACCGTCACAGCTCACAAGCCCAATAAAGACTCCGTACCTTAAAGAGGAAAACAATTGTTGAAATAAAATAAGAGACAATGACCAGAATTTCACATGAAACACGACTACCTTTTTCACACTGTGATCCTGAAAAACCACGCTGGCACATACAATCATATTCCCCGAGTTTTGGACTACAGATTCCGCCATTGCGGCATGGACTACGCCTGGCTGTGCAGGGATGAGAGCGGTAATTGGAGATCTCCATTGCCTTTCTAATGTTTTCTTTCTTAAGCAGTGGAATAGATTTTATTGAAAGCTAGGAGAAAATGCAGAAGAGAAAAACAATTAGCAAACAATCACCATTTCTTAAACTCAGGAAAGGAGCTAAGAGCACTCATTTGATTAAGCCATTTTGTTTTGATGAATTGAGTTCCAAAATTCAAGCTTGCTTTTATTTCAAAATAAACAAAACTCAATCCACAAACTAAATCAATTTTTATTCAGAGTTGGAGAAGGAGAATGGGTACCAGATGCAATCTGGTGCAGCTTGTTATTGACGCCCTCACCTAGCCTCTGAAAAGCAATTGGCTCACCTTCAACTTGGGCTTGGACAGCAGGATCCCAACGGTGGTGAAGAACCAGTGAGAAATCCCCAGTCCTCTCATATTAGCAGCTCCATTGGCTGAGCAGATGGAGGTTGTTAGTCTGAAGATGGGGAGGGGGCCACTTTCTTTTTTACTTTTAAAGACCCACAGTGGCCTGTTCTTGATCTTGGAGGGGCAACTCATCCAGAGTGGCCAGAGCTTGAGGTTGTGGTCCAGTGCCCATTACTGATGCAGGAACAACATGGACACCAAGGGTCTCCAGACTGAGTCTATCATGTTGGCCATCACTAATGCAGACTGCCAACATTGATGACTGGAACTCTCAGTTGATGCCAGAATATGGCCTTCATTGGGCGTCCCTCTTGACAAAATGAGTTTGTAGATAATAGATGCTCCCTGCTTGGGTAAAAGCAGCAGGTGTGACGGAAGGCCAGTTTCTGAAAACAGCTCGGGTTGGAATTGTGACAGGCAGCCAATGGAATGGTGTCAAATTACAGGCCCAACCTTTATGATCCAGAGCCCACCTTTCATTGAAAATATGACCCTGATTCAGTACGTTGGAGCACAGGAATAGGAATAAACCATTCATTTCCTTGAACCTGTTCCATTATTCAACTTGTATCATAATTCCATCAATCCAACTTCTTTCTGTAATCTGTAGTATCACTGCCGAACAAAAATCTAATCAATATCAATTTTGAAATGTTCCATTGATCTCCCATCTGAGTATCTTCCCTCAGGGAGTGTGTTTAAGATTTCTACGACTCTTCATGTGTAGATAAAACTTTTTTTTGGGTGCAGTAAAGAATGAGGTACAGTTAAGGAAGAATGGATAAAGGCAGGAGTATAATTTTGGAGGGAATAATAGTGCTTCAACTCTTTCAAAATAGAAAAACAAGATGTGTTAACTCGGCACTGTGCACTGAAGGAAAATAAAATGCGAACTCTTGATGCCACTGTGCCAAGTTCCACTTTTTACTCTAGCCAAATCAACAAAAAAAACTCTGTAAACTTAAAACTCAACATGTGTTATAAATGTGTATCCTCAACATAATTAACAGAACATTCTCAAAACAAATTAAAAACTGGATAATGGCCAGGACAAATACTAAGAAAATGGACAAATCATAACATTGAGCACCAATCTTGGAGTAGGGGACGAGGCTAATTAGAATAAACATCTAATAATTTTTAATCAGTTCTCTGTTCCCAGTTCCTCAACTGAATAAAACTGCTAAAGTTTCTCATTCTATTTACCTTCTGAATTGCTCCTTTAAATCCAGATGTGATTGCAGCTGCACGGGCAAACTTATTGAGATCTGGTGCTCCACCTACATACAAAGCTTCCTTGAGGTTCAGTGCTGTGTGCGGCGTCTTGGGGATGAAGAACATTTTTTATTTAATTACACAAACAGACTGAGATGATATTTGTCTGAATAATTATGCATCAAAAATTAAGCCAACAGCCAACGTGACATAATATTACAATGTAAAGTCAGTCTGTCAATGTAACAAAAAGGTTTTACACTGGTGGATATTTTATTTTGTTAAACCTGTTTTATGACAACAGTTATACTAAGAGCTTTTCGTTTCTCAGTGGCTTGCAGTAACAAGCTAAATTGATTATTTTGAATAGGACAGACTGACTTTAAGCTTCAGGACGTTTATTCAGGATATAAATCTGTAACAATGGAGTGACAAATTACTTAAGGTATGAGGTGGCAGGGACAGGGTGTTGTTGATGTTGCTTGTGGAGGACGAAAAACGACGAGTTTTTCTGAACAAAGACAAAAAATAGTTTGTGGAAAGAAAGAATAACTGCCGAGAAATCTTAGTGAACTGGAATTGAAACAAAGATATTCCAGTTTAACCAATATCTCTGATTCACACTACACTATTGAAGTCTGTTTCTGATTACAATTTTTTTGAAAGAAGAAATGCTACTTACCACATTTCAGCATTAGGTTTAGGATTTGAAAGGAAAAGATTTAGTTGTAATAGCTTTAAATAGGAGCTTGTTTTGAAATAAAAAGGACTGGAGGTGTTGGAAATAAGTAACACAATCAAAAATTGTACTTTCTCTCGACAGATGCTGCCAGACCTGCTGAGTTTTTCCAGCAATTTCTGTTTTTGATCTTTTCCAAGTACAGAAACAAAAAACAGGAACTCAGCAAGTCTGGGAGCATCTTTGGGGAGAAAGCAGAGTTGACATTTCAAGTCCAGTGACCCTTCTGCAGAACCTTATTTGAAATCTCTCTCCAAACACATGTCATATACTAATGAATTTACAGTGGTGACAAGTAAATCCTTTTCACATTCCCCTGTTCTGAGAAAGGGTCACTGGATTGAAATATTAACTTTGCTTTCCCTCCACAGATGCTGCCAGATCTGTTGAGTTCTCCAGCAAGTTCTGTTTTCTGTTTCTGGTCTCCAGCACCCACAGTTCCTTTGTTTTAATTGCTGGAGTGACTTTAATGCGTGTCAGGAAGATCTTCATTCAGACATTTCTCCTGGCTGCCACTCTGCCCTCCCCAAAAAGACTGTTGTTAAAGTCTAAAAAATACCAGTGAACAGCTGACATCTGTGGGTAAAAGTGTGGATCAGGTCACGCCTGTGACTTGTTCAAACTTGTATATGTTTAAAATAGAGTCGTTCACATGACAAAAACAGAAATACAACTGCAAGTGTCTTTATTAATTAACACAAAGCACTTATGGATGTTCTGGAGTATTTACCTTCTATTCATATCCAATTTTTAAGTTTCAGCTGTCAGGCGTGAACATGGCCTGCAGGGCAGAGCAAAGGCTCAGTGTTCTAGTTTAATTTACTTGTGGCCAATCACATTTTCTTTGGGGAAGTGTTTTTTTTTTGTTTTCACTAGTCTTTCTGTTACTGAACACTAAACGTGGCCTTTGAAATCTCTCTCTAAAAACATGATCATTTGCACCACATACTAATAAATATATTTACAGCGATGACAAACAAATCCCATTCACAATCCCCGTCAAGTGCTGCGATCAATGTGTAACCAGAAACAGACCACGGGTAGCGATTTGAGCTCATGTGTGCCAAATGGGAATGCAAGACAAGATTAAATATGCATGAGATGAATGAATAATGTCAAACAAATTCAGTAAAAACCTCATGAGAAAACACGCACACTAAATCGTACACACAAGCAATGTAATGACATGCTTATCAGGTTAGTGGTGACCTTGCTTGTTTATAAAGATGAACATTAAAGTAAAAGTACCTTTAATAGACACTACCACAGGCACTTCAGTTTTTAAATGCACAGAGCAGTATTGTACATTTATGAAATCTAGTTGAGGATTTGAATAGTCTTATGAGATCTTAAAGATTGACTAAGTTATTACAGATTATGAAATTCACACTGAAATGCTAAATATGGAATTGTATATTTCAAAAAGGCAGAACTCGAATTTTCCACACATTTCCCTTCTCATTGCACTGTTTCTTCAAAATATTTTCTGTATTTAATTGGGCTGTCAATCTACTAATTCAATCTTTATTTGTAAAATTAGAACTTTTAATTAAAGAGTTTTAAGATCAATCCAGAACAAACTCAGACAGTACTAGAGGGCAGTCAGCCGATCTGGCAGAGGACTCATTTGGAGGCAGAAACTGAGTTAAATTTTCAAGTCCAATATGACACTTCTTCAGATGAATTCTCTCTTCACAGATGCTGATGGACCTGCTGAGTTTGTTCAGCATTTTCTGTGTTGCAGCTGTTCAGCATCCAAAGTAGTGTGCTTTTATTAAAGATCAATCAAGCCAGGAGTGAAAATGTTAGGATAAAAATTCCCTATTTTTAGTTCGTACCAAGTCTGTATTGTTTTAAGAGAAAAGAACGTTTTTTCTAATTTTAATGGTAATATAAACCAACAAGAATATTTTACAGAGATAACAATGTGTAGAGCTGGATGAACACAGCAGGCCAAGCAGCATCAGAGGAGCAGGACTACTACTAACTTCAGAAGGGTCTAGGCCCGAAACGTCAGCCTTCCTGCTCCTCTGATGCTGCTTGGCCTGCTGTGTTCATCCAGCTCTACACCTTGTTATCTCAGATTCTCCAGCATCTGCAGTTCCTACTATCTCTGAAAGAATATTTTACACGTCTATAATGTTTTAATGATTTGTGCCTGATTAGATAATAAAATATTGATAAATTAAAATTAAAATTTGATATGATCCAATAGCCATTGCTCCATTACGCGTTGTGTGATAGTCATCAAATTAGGCAGATCCAAAGTTTTATTCCCATTGTTGTTAAGTTCTTAGCTCCTTCCCTTGCTGAAAGGCCAGCTTATCAAGTGGAGAAGAAAATAAGATGGAATAATGGGCTTTATTTTTCTTTTACAGAACTCATCAATAATGTGGTTTTCAACAGTTAGTGCTTTATTTTGGACAATCAGCAGATCTCTTTTCCTTGTACTCATGCAATATTATTTTATATTTTTATTTCACTTCAGTTAAAACACTATCCACTCCTTTTCAGAAGGAAATCTCACAAGCTTTGTCTTTGTGAGTTTGAATACAAAGCTAGTAATCCAATACCGGATTATAACAAGAGCTATGTTGGACTCAAAACATTAATTCCGTTTCTCTCGCCACAGATGCTGCCAGACCTGCTGAGTTTCTGTTTTTATAGTGAAAATGTATGGACTTTATGCCAGCAGAATAAAACTTGCTGCAAGAATCTGTCAGTAGCCGAGATGAATTTGCAGCATGCTAGTTTATAAAGCTGTCACAGAGGTCAGATCATTAAACTAATGTATCTTACAAAGATGAAGGTTGCAAAAATGAAGATTAAAATTTGCATAATGTAAAATAAACTATATTTATTCCCCTTAGTCTGGAGTTTCAATGCTCACTCCTTTATTAGTCTTTATTTGCTGTCTCTCAGGTTTATCTTTTATTCCCCTAATTCTTGCTATCTTTGTATTCTTTCTTGACTTTATTTTAATACTTTGTTCTCTTATGATCCTGATTTTACTTTTCCTGCTTTTCATTTTATTTTGGAATGGATTACTTTATAAACGTTGTACTTTTGACACTCTGAAACCAAACAAATTTAGGGCCAGTTTCCTCACTGCCTGTAAGGAACACGACATGATGATATTGGCATGGCCACAGGTTTAGAGCAGGAGCAAGGTTTAGGCTACTGTTACGCTCAGGGAATGTTCTGCATGGCCGATCAGATGGGCCACCTAGTCATGGTGGCAGAAAGCCTGTGGTTGGAGACCTGATGAGTTATTGCTTGTTTCCTTCCCCTACCTGCCACACTGTGATAATAATAACTGTGAGACACCAGGATCTACAAAGAGAAATTGCACAGAGTGAGGGGCCCTATTTGAGGTGCATCCTCACCAGCACAGTCCCTGAAACCAGAGCCTGAGCAGGGTAACAGAATCACTTTAGATTTAAACAAAAGGGCAAAAGGTGCCTGTTTATTTTTCTTTTAAGGGAGCAGCAGCTCAAGCTGAGAAGCAGCAATGGCACAGCGTTGTGGCTTTTCGGAAAGGCCGCCATGTTAATTGTCCATTGGCTGGGCAGCAGGGGCCTTCCCTGGGGACTCCAGGAAAGGCGGACATGCCCACTGGGAGCTGATGGTCAATCAGCGGCCGACAGCTCTTCCATTGTTGGTCAGCACCCACCAAGGGAGTGGCAGCATCCCTCAGTAATACACCCACCCACCGGAAGGCCCAGGATCACCAAAGGAATCTAGGCCACAAGTGAGTGATGCTATGGGCAGAATTACAGTGAAGTCAAGGGAATCAGCAGCAAGGGCAGGGGGTCCTCCCTCCCAAAGCAGGGTCTCGATTATGCATTGGAGCCTCTGGACAAGGTACACATGAAGCCTACACAAAATCCTGACATGCTATGCTTTACAGACTTTCTGTATTGGCGAACCCACCCCCCCCATCCACTGCTGGGTGAATGCCAGCTGCGGTGGAATGAGACCCTCATGTGGGCATTAATTACCGAACCAACAATCTCAAGCGATGGCAGGGAGGGCAAGGGCAGGCAAGACTGTTCACGAGACTTTCTACCCTGGACTTGGTTAGAGTAGAGGTGGGAAGAAGACTGAGTCTTCCTCCAAAAGCCACTCATCCAAGTAAATCTGCATACATCCACCATGGGGTCAGTCTGCCTACTGAGTATACCGAAAGCCCAGTGAGTATCCGAAGCCCAATGACTAAACTGAAAGACCAATGAGGCCAGAACTGGGCAGGAAGGGGCAGGCCACATGGATTACCATATAACTTGAGTCCCACTGAATCTCCACTTCCATTTAGCCCATCGTCATCATCACTAACATTTCATGACCTGAATTTTGAAGAGGTTATGTAATGCAAAACTAGATGTTCTACAACTAACTCTACGTTTAGCAATGAAATTGGATGAGTTTAGAATGGGATAACGATGTTGTGAGAGTGATGACATCAATTTTTCTTTTGGTTTTGTTTCGTTTTACCTTGCGCGATTTCTTAAATCCAGAAAGCACATCAGAATAAGTACAAGAAACATAAGAGAAAAAAGGGAATCATCAGTAAGTGTGAAGTAAAGAACACACAGTCAAACACATTAGTACCCCATCATAACATTATTAATATTTCAAGGGCTGCAAGGCACTTTGTTAGGGATGGAGATTAACTTTCCAGATGAGTTTCTCAAATCGCTCCAATTATAAATGCATTCACCACTCAGCTTCGTAAATATCTCTCACACAGGCACAATCACAGCCGTGCATTCCACTGCAAAGAAACAACTTCATGAAAAGCAGTTACCATGGATATTGGATAAGGACATGTTCCTGGGTCAGAACAGGGTAATGTAGGGGGGAGTAACTCCATATCCACCTACTCCTGTGGAAGAGTCAAACAGCCTCAACTCCTCCCCCAGTACAGCGACATGAGAAAATTATTGTGCAATCTTCAAATCTACTCGTCTCTGTTCCAGTACACTGGAATACCAGCATGGTACCTGCTTCTGACAGATTTCTCTCTCTACCAATAAACTGACCCCTCCCAAACTCCTTCTATGGAACTCATTCTGATGGTTCAACTGAAATAAGTGTCTTGAGCCACTTATGAAGATTGACTGACCACCATGAGTTTGTCCATGTAGCATCTATTTGCACGTGCTGAATGGTTTGCTAAACCTGCAACATGATGGAAAAGAAAGGCATGCGTATAACAAGCTGGAGGTACACCGTATCGGTGCGGGCAACAAATAAAATTTGCCACATTGAGCGCGTGGAAGAACTTGGAATTTACTGTTTGCTTCATTAAATAGAGGGACAAGTGGCCAAAAATCCTTTTGAATGTATTCCTGCACTGTCCCCATGTGTGTTTTAGAAAACTGGGCCTAAATGATATTTGGCTTACCAAGCTGTCCTGCAAGAGGGGCCATTATGGTTTGCATCAAACACTTGGTTGAACACAGAGCTGGGAGATGCAGGAATGCTCCTCAGGATCCCACATTAAAACCACACAAGACTGGACAGGCCACCACGGACATCATCACATCCCCTCATTCCTCTCTTGATCTTGGCTCTCACCCTTACCGATCACCGCAGACAATTTCCCACCCTTCCAGCCTGGCGGTTACACTCTCTATCATTTTGAGTCTTCCAATTGCATCACCCCACCTCTCCCAACTACTCTTCCTTTAATGGCTGATCTGTGGAATCATTTAGTGCCTTATTTTTTATTTCGCAGTGACTTGGTGAGATCCCACTTCTCACGTTATATAATGAAAACCTGAAAACCAACCAATTCTGAGCACACATGAATTTTTAGACCATTTTAAGTTAGAGTAATCAGTTTAGAATTGATCAAGCTTCCCCTATCTAGTGATAGCATGTGTCACCCACCTCTCTAGAATACATACCCATTTGGCTGTAAGTCATAAAAGGGGTTTTTTTTGACAATCTTTTTGGATTTCATGACTTTCGTAGCTTGGTCTCTGCCCCATCACATTTGCACACACCACCCACACAGTTGCTACCATTTTAACAGCTCACAGACAGACCAAATACCCTGCATTCAAACCACATGGAAGTCAAAATCTTTTAACTGATGTAGCAGGGAGAACACCTCCTCACATGAAGTCCCTATTAAAGGGAAGTTTCTTTTCTGTTGATTTATATCAGAACTGATCTTAAACCGCAGTGGTAAAATGATCCCGCTGGCCTTCAATATGCTACTGTGAACGTTTTTCAACCATCTTGCCTGTCTCTGATCAGATGAATGTGTTCATTCAGTTTACCAATTCTTTCCCTGTTCCCCTCACCCACCTCTGTCCCACAACCTCGATCAGGTAAACTCTTTGGGGCTCCATTCAGGTGTAAATTCTGTGCTCCCTGGACATCGTAGGGGAACGGGGTCTGTACACAAGAGCTGTCTTTGAGGCGGCTACTTTGATTGATATGACCATTCCGACTACTTACAGAATACTCCACCAAACAGCAAGGTAACAACCAGAATTTGTTTCCCTAGTCCATTACAAGCATCTTGTAAATGTCATGTAGCAAAGCATTACCATCAAAACTGAGCTCCAAATACCAGGATCCTTCAACCTACTGATAGCCCTTGGGCAGGACCTGCATTTCTCTAGATGAACAACAGGTGTCAGTGGTGTGCCATCTATGCTGGGAGGAGCAGCTGGAAACTAAACAGTAAAACCTGAATTGAGTTTCAGTCAGAATTTCGTGCATCTGCATGAATATTCGCAATGGCACACAGCTGCTGAAAATTGTATACTTCCTAAGTTTTGAATTCTCTTGCCTACAGATATGATATGCCCCTCTCAAACATAAACTGCTTTACAGCAGCATGTTCCACATTCCACAATCAGGTCCTGTAGGCATGGCTCAGGACTACAACATAGGACTGGAGTGCCATGGCACCACAGAGTAATGGGGCCTGTTCCAAACACTGCAGGGCCCCTGATGCCATTCATATCACTGAGGTGCCACTATTTCCTGGGTGGAGGAAGGGTCACTTCAGGCTATTTTCACATATGGGGATAAAGCAGAGAAAAACAAAGAAAACCAAAGAAGGACTATTCTCCTAAAAACACCCAAACATTATTACTAAGAGAAATCACATATGGTGCCCTCTCTAACACATTCTCTTGTGCAGAACTCCAAACATAGATGGGGCACCAACTTGCATGAGTTCTCTCTCTGATCCAAAACCCAGTCCTGAGCCCTCTCATCACCAATATTACAATCGCTGCAATGGCGTGGAATGGTATAAGTGCCTGGAAAAAGTTCATTTGGAGCTGGTTAACATGATACCGACCAGCAGAATCCTGAACTGCAAATCAACTCCAGACATTTCCTCCATCATTCAGCGTCTCAAGAAAAACACAACTGAATAGATTATGCCAAACCTGCAGTCTGTCGCTCATTATACACCATCATTTTGGGTCTTATAGTATGATGGTAGTGCCTCTACGAGTGGGCCAGAACATCCAGGTTCAAGTCTCATCTGCTCCAGAGGTATGTCATAACACATGAGAGGAAGTTGATTCAAAATAATTCACACCTTACGTAAGGAATTGCAACTTTGCCAGATAGTAGCTATATTTATTTAGCTGTACAAATAGGTTCCATAAATCAGCCCAGGCATCAAAAAATGAGAGCTTCTCATTTCCAGAAGCTTCCAGCTATTGGATCAGGTGTAATAATGTATACACAGCATGAAAACATCCCAGCCATTATAAACACTTGGAGAATGAGGCAGTAAAGTCTTTCAGAACACAATAAATCTAACAAATATGGAGTACATTTTCGAATCAACCTGCTCAGAGATATTATTACATGCCTCTGGAGCAGATGGGATTTCAATGCAGGTCTTCTGGCTCAGTGGTAGGGACATTACCACTGCGAAGTAACAGCCCACAAACGTAAACAACCTGAATAATTCACAGCTGACAACAGGCAGATATTCCTTGCTACTTACCGGGGATTCACCATTGATGGGTTCACCATTATTAATGATCATTAATCCTTTCCGCCCATTTCTTTCAACAGTAACCACATTCCACACATTCAGTGGGATGCGTTGCTTACTCCTATTTTAATGGAGAAAAGTTACAGGTAATATTCAGTGATCTAGAAGTATGCATCACGGTATTTTGAGTATTGTTAATTGAGAAAACAACAACAGTAGAAGCAGTGTTCCCAGTCCATCATGAACATGATTTCACAAGTAGGTCCTGCTTCTAGAGGGGGCAGTTTGGGTAGGCCATGTACTGGAAATGATGAGCAAGTTGCTCACAAGTCTCCACTAGATGTGTCTGGTAAGTGAGGGCTCTCGATGTGTTTTCAAGAAGGGGTTAGATATAGTTTCTGGTCTAAAGGGATCAAAACGTACGGGGAGAAAGCAAGAACTGTAGACTGAATTGGATGATCAACCATAATCAGACAAAATGGCAGGTGAGGCTTGAACAGCTGAATAGCCTACTCCTGTTCCTATTTTCTATGTTTCTGTGCCAATGAATTCTCCAAAGATGAGTCTCAGTTGAGCGATTCACTGGGTTTTGTTTTGCAATCACAGAGAGAACTTCATCTAAAGAGCACAGAATGTACAATGCAAAAAGGTCAGCCCTCCAGGTTTTACCTGGCATTTCCAGACATTGAAGGTTATGGTCCAGGGCACCATTGTGAGAAAACAGCAGGATTTTTGATCAGAGGGCTCAGTAAGGAAAATCTATTTTCTTGCTGCACTTCTGTCTACTCGTTACAGAAATACCGGAAAAGTAAGCTGGTTGACAATCAATTGGCCAATATCAAGATCATCCTTTTTCCAGTTGGATTTTCAAAAGGTATCACGTGATGAGAACAGACAGATTGGGGAACCAATGTGGGAAGGGGGTTGGTGGGGTAGATGAGAACATGTGATGTAGCTTCCAAGATTTCATCCAATCAGAGCTGACAAGTTTAACTTTACTCCACCCGTAAGGGAAGATGCTATTGTATAAAAAGGACAGTCAATCAAGTGGGAAACATTAGGCTTTTCTCATCAATATTATAGCCTATTGTTCATTTGTACGTGTAAGGCTTTTGACTAAAATGACTGAAAGACCGGCTGACATATTTTTCAATGCTTACCAATATGGGCATGTTACTGGTCTGGCTTCAACAAAATGCCATCTATATAAAGTGCATTGTTTCTCATCATTTATTTAATGAGCCCATCACAAAATGAACAAAGTTAACTTACACACAAGAATTCTCATCTGTGCAGATTATGGAATATTTATTTACCCAATAGAATAAATACTAAGGTAAACTAGCCATAGTCTTACCAGACCATACGGCTGCTCACTCATTACAGAGAGATGACTGCTTTAACATGAGGGTCACCACACCTCCGGTTGGGAAGGAGAGTCCTTCATGTTAATGTCAGATAGTGCAGGAATTGAGCCCATGCTGTTCGCAACACTAACCAGCCAAGAAGCTAACCAACCCTGTAACTAATAGCATAAGCACCACTGGAAACAATGTATATATCCAGGTGAAAATTGAGGACAACTTCTGTGGAATAGGAGCCTCTCAAAATGCCAGGGCAATTCACAGGATGTAGACAAATAAAATATTTTCAAGGCTTTGAATATTGATCTTAAAGAGTTGTTCATCTCCATCTCCAAGGCTACATAGGAAGAATCTTACTGCGAAAGTAAATTGAGACATATATTTTTGTCATTACCTAATAACTGCTGGTCCTTTTCCGAGGTCATATTTAAACTCTAAGTAACCATCACGCAGGTTTAGGGAAACAAAGTCCCCACGGCCATCGGTCTTCTGCCCGTTGTAAAAGATCATTCCATTGCGATCAGTGGCCAAGAAGATTATTTCCATTGACAGCTTCTGACTGTAATCAGATCACACGTTTACTGTTACATCAACAAGTGAATTTTACGCCCACACTCCTTTCAACTAGTCTGACATCAGTCTCGCAATTCACTCTCGGTATAATTTTTTAAAAGAATTGTTCCTCCCTGGGATCTGGGTGCCGTCCATCCGTAAATCACAGAGGTTGGCACAGGAAAAGGCCATTCAACCATCATGCATGCACCAGCTTGTTAAATGAGCACCATTGCCTAAAGCTAATCTGTGGTTTCTTCCTCATACCCTTGCACATTATTTTTAACCAAATAATCATCCAATGCTCTCTTGAAGGCTTCAATTGAACCTGAACATTTCCAGACAGTGCATTCCACACCCTAATCACTCACTGAGTGAAAATGTTTTTCCTCACTTCACCCTTGCTCCTTTGGCACATCACTCTATATCTATGCTGTCTTGTTCTTGTTCCTTTTACCCTTGAACTCAATGGCTTGCTAAACCTTTAGAGAGAATAGCTGAGAATCAACCACATGATTGTGAATCTGGAGTCACATGTAAACCAGAGCGGGCAACATCACGTTACACCACGACCTCCAGGTCTGACCCAATGGATAGCTCCACAGTCACCATGTGTTATTCCTTCAATATCAGCCAAGGAGATGTATTTGATGAGTATGGGGCAAGGAGATATTCAATTTATTTTCCCAATACGCTGGAGAACATGGGTTCCATCTCATCAACCTCATACTCCAGCAGTGTAGTTAAACCCCAGATTCTTTCCCATGAACTTGAGGATACATCATGCACACTATCAATCCTTAAGATCATTTAGACAGCTGTTGATGAAGAAGCATTGGGGAACAGGCTGTATTCGAGCGGAATTCAAATCCCTCAGGCTTCCGATTGGAAAAATCGAGTGCTATTTTAGTAATGTGATAACTTAAATACTATTTAAAGTGTCTACTACTTGGATAGGATTTAGTGTGCATAGTCCAAAGTGCAGCAACACAAGTTAACTTTTCAGTGTCCCTTCCTGGAAGTGTGCCTGTACTGCATCCATAGGAGCTTCGATAGATGAAGAGCCTATTGAATAACTATATCATAGTGGGTTACTCCAATTGCTATACTTTTAATGTAGAGATTGATCCTCACCTCCTTTCCTTGACCAGGGCCAATATATTAAAGCCAGAATCCCATTATGGTATTATAGTTGTCCTGTCTGAAAATTCATTGCTTAAAAAAAGCCTCACATGCATCTGAATTCTTAAAATATCTCACACAGGTGGAATTTTACCTGTTAAGATGTATTTTCCTTCACCAAGATGTCTTACTTCACACATAGATTTAGATGTCACTTTTCTGTTCTATGGCTAAACCTGTCACCATGGACAGTCTTTCTGTATTCTTCCCTCAACAATTGTACTGCCCTTTTTATCAGAGTAAATATTGATTTCTATTCCCCATCGTGCAGCCAGAACTAACACTTGTGAAACTTGCAACAATCCAGTGTGAAAAGTAGCCGAAAGGTTTTGAATTTGGAAATAGGTTTATGGAGGATAATTAGCTCGAGGTCATTGCAAATCCTTTATTTATGAGATTTATTTGGAAAGTAATTTCGGAGATCTGTTTACCCAGGCAGAGTACTGGTCGAGTCTAATCTTAGCATATTTTTCTAAGCATCAAATGAACTTACAGCAATTCGCTGACAAATGTATGGATTCCATTCATTTCGAGGTAGGAAAGCCCATTGAACTCTGGAATGAAAGCAGTGGCCTGGTTCTGCTCAGTTTCTGGTGCAAAAGAAAAGAAGTAGCTGTAAATACGAAGAAGTCAAAACTTAATACATTTCAAGGAAAACGGACATTAGTGAAAATCTATGCTCCACTTTTCTCGCTAAAATGATGGTGCGCCTGGAGAGGGCGTAGAAGAGATTCACCAGGACGTCATCTGAGTTGGGCTGGTTCTCCCTACAGCAGAGAAGGCTGAAGGGAACCTGATTGAGGTGTACAAACTTCTGAGTGGCACAGACAGGGTAAATAGGGAGAAACATTTCCCCTTAGTACAGGGGTCAATAACCAGAGAGCGCAAATTTAAACTAAGAAGCAGAACATTATGAGGTGCTTTTAGAAAATGCTTTCCACTCAGCAGGTATGGGTATTTGGAACTCATTGGCTAAAAGGATGGTAGAGGCCATTTAAATACTATTTAGAGAAGCACTTGAAACACCACAACATATAATTCCAAGTGTTGGAAAATGGAATTAGAGTAGATGGATGTTTGATGACTGGCACAGATACAATGAGATGAAGGGGCTCTTTCCTTGCTGTAAAACTCTATGACCCTGAAATAACTCCACAGAGGCTGGTATCCTGTCACCCAGTAACCCTTTATTTACATGTGAAGAGTCCTTGACGCTGATCCAGCTTCCTCACAGCTAGTCCTCAGTGTGAACAGATCCTCTGGCTCTCCTGTTTATATCTGTTGGCCAATGCTCCCTGATTGGACCAGATTAACAGCCCCAAGCAGGGAACTCACATTCTATGGGATCCACGCAACTGACCTCGTTACAATCACTCCAGACCCTTTAGCTCTTTAGCATGGAACCCTTTCTCATTGGAAGAAACCAGAATCCAGATAGAATGCCACAAAACTAAACAAAATGGAAACATTGATATTGGCATTGGATAACACCAGGATCAGTTGGCCTGTGATGCCATCTCTGGTGGCAAAGTGTACTGCGACTCATCTTTCAGGCTCACATGCAAAATACGGCTATTTGGATTAAATACGAAAGAGCTGCAGGATCCAATAGATCCATTTCATTTCAACTAACAACAAGACAAGGGAAGAGAAATCCAAGTGAAAATTTCTGTATGGGGTTGTTCTATTGTTGGGAGGATGGGGGGTCATGAATGTGGGTGGAGGGTATTTGCAGAGACACAGGGGGTGTCACCAAGGGAAGAGGAGATGCAGTGGCAGGGGCTGGGGGCAGCACTTTGACATTGAGCGAGTCGCTCTCCTATGAGTGTGGGATATGGGGTTTGCGCACAGAGAAGGCTGTATTGGTGAACCTGACGTGGAGCTAACCAATGCTGTTCAGAAAACTTTAAGGCTTGGATCCTGAAGACTGGTCAAAGTACTAACAATAATGCAATTGGATAATGCAGTATTGCTAAATCAGGGAGGAAGAAGAAAAGTGTAACAAAAGATGACTTGGGCCAAGTTCTGGCTCCTTATTCCTTCCTAGTCACTTCTGTTTGGAAGTGTAGCTGCAGAGAATATGCACTGAGAACCAGACTGATGCTGGTCCAATGACACTCTTGGTTAAACAGCTGGCTGAAACTCAGTGCATAAGTTTGCACATGAAGCAGTAATACTTGGCTGTGGTACAAGGCGGCATCAGTAGGTACTAGAAATGAGACTCACTGCTTCCAGTCTTGGTTACAATTCATAAGTAACAAAGTTGCTAAAATCCTAGAACTTCCTTCCTAACAGTGCTGTGGGAGTACCTAACCCCTGTTCAAGAAAGCATCATCTTCTCAAGGACAATCAGGGATGAGAAATAAATGTTTACCCTCCCAGTGACCCTCGTATTCCACAAACTTTAAACAGTCAAGGTTCACTACATGAGCCAACACTTCAACTACAAGATCTCAACGTTAAAATAGATCCCCAAATGCTCACAATCACCACATGTACATATATATCAGTTACTTAAGGTGGAGTGAAAACAGTGCACGATCCTGTGTGTCAGTAAACTACACAGGTCAGGTTTGTACCTTGAGGCCTGTGTAGAGTTGCCTGCCCTCAGCTAGGACAGCAACGACGGTGTTACTGCCTACAATGGGAGAAAACAAAGGTGTCTGCCTGTTCAGTACTGTCAAACGATTCCTGCTGCAAGGTGCATGCCTGGAAATTAATGCCATTCCCTGAATCTCTGAGATTCAAAGTGGGGGTGGTTGAGGGTTTGAGAGTTTCCATGGGGATGGTGGGCTAACATTCTGCCCTCTCTTCCTGCATCATGCCAGCAACCCTCTCCTTGCTACCCCCATCCTGCCCTTCCTTAGCTGTGTCCGGAGCACCTCACTACTCAGTGATCACTACTGGGTGTACTGCTGGAAGCCCCCACCACACTCCGAGTGGCGGAGATGGCCCCTGATTGACCATAGTTCTTGGACAGCCTGTTGTAAGAGGAGGTCCACACTATTGTAATTGGATGTTAACATTAAATGCAACAATATACAAGGGATGTAAGGCAACGGTTTCTTCTGGGACCACATAAACTCAAGCTGCTGTTCTATGTGATTGAATGTCACAATGTCATAGCTATTTAAGTGCATGTTCAAGTGTTTAATTAGCCTTTTACTCCACACGCGTGGGATTTCAATCTCCAGGGTTGTACATCCCGAGGGAACAACCACCACCGGCCACTTATGTGCCTGACTGGTATTTAATGCGGGCAGACATTCCCCTGAAAATCACGGGACTCCCATTAGCTGTCAGGCCAACGGCTGAGACCCCTGTCCCAAGGTGTACTGTGTTATGAAGGTGAATCATATCGGACTTGAATCATTAACTTTGTTTCTCTCTCCACAGATTCTGCCACTAAGTTTCTCCAGCACTTCCTATTTTTATTTCAGATTTCCAGCATCCGCAGAATTTTGCTTCTATTTTGTGGAACAGCTTTAGTTGCGAATGTCCCCCGTGGCTAAGCTTCGTTCATGCTTTGATTATCTGTCCTAGTTCTTACAGGAAAATTGTCACTTGGAACAAACACCAGTGGCTTCTGGAAAGAAAGCTGCATTCTGTGCCTGCAATTTTTTCACACCACTTACTCCACATTGCCACAAAGCAACAATAAATCTCCATTTTGATGTATGTTTCAGGAAAATAGATTTCAGTCACAGTTCCCTTCAATCGATCAATTTCTTTTCATTAAACAGCCAGGGGTTGAAAGAATTCTGAGCATTCAGCTGTCCTTCAAAGGTTTTGTTAAGATGATATAGAATATCCTTACCCCAGAGCTCTATCAATAGAAAAGTAATCACTGAACCAAAAATACAATATTCATTCTTTTTGCATATCTTCAATTGACATTTATCATTCAGCTCATGCTGCTTTGAATCTTGTCAGTTCTATAGCACTTTGCATTCTCTTGGGAAAGTATTGAACAGGTTTCATCGCCCTTATATAGCATGTTAAATGCAATCTAGAGTAGTTACTCAAAATAATCAGTTTAAATAGGCAAAAGGTGGAAGCAGAATGAATGGATTTAAACTGCTTTATCTTTTATGTGCCTTTTTTTAAAAATGATTGATAGTAACTCTCTCCTGCCCACAGTGGTCACTATACATTTTATGTATTAGAGGCTTGACAGGTTATATGGTGAGTGTTCCCCTTTATGGGACAGTCTAGGACCGTAAGACCGTAAGAAATAGGAACAACAGTAGGCCATTCGGCCCCTCAAGTCTGCTCAAGCATTCAATAGGATCATAGCTGATCTGACGCTCCTCACATCCACTTTTCCTGCCCTGTCCTCATAAACCTGGATTCACCGACAGATCAAGAATCTATCTCAGCCTTCATTATACACAATGACTTTGCCCCCCACAGTTTTCTGTGGCAAAGAGTTCCAAAGATTCACAAACCCTCTGAGAAAAGAAATTCCTCCTCATCTCAGTTTTAAATTGGCACCCCTTTATTCTGAGACTATGTCCTCTTGTCCTACGCTCTCCCATGCAGGGAAATATCCTCTCAGCATTTACCATGTCAAGCCCCTTAAGAATCCTACATGTTTCAATGAGATCACCTCTCATTCTTCTAAACTCCAGTGAGGAGAGTTCCAACTTGTTTAATCTTTGCTCATAAAACAATTCCTCCATGCCAGGGATCATCCTAGTGAACCTTCTCTGAACTGCCTCCAATGAAATAATATCTTTCCTTAAAGAAGGGGACCAAAACTGCTCACAGCACTCCAGATGTGGTCTCACCAGTACCTTGCACCAGAGGGCATAACTCAGAAAAATGGATCGCCCATTTAAGTCAGAGATGAGGAAAAATTTCTTTACCTCAGACGGTAGTGAATCTGTGGAATTCTTTACCTCAGGGGGCTGTTGGACTATAACCTGCTGTCGTGTGACTTCTGACCTTAATCAATGAAAACAGGCTTCGAGTAGCTGAAGTGTGACTTGCTTTATGAGACATCCCAGTCAAATAAACTGGAAGACATGGGAGCAGAAATAGGCCATTCATTCCATTGAATCTGCTTCACCACCCCAGTCCGACACCAGCATCTCCACATCGTTTACTGATTAAGCAGGGCAGTGCAAAGAGCAAATATATCAGTGGCAAAATCATCCTGACTGTAAATTCAAGTATAGGTATTTTCAAATCAACCTATGAAGAGATGGTATTGCACACTTCTGGAGCAGGTGGGACTATGAACCCAGGCCTCCTAGTTCAGAGGTAGGTATAACCTTGAAACTCAGGTAAACCTCATAACACCCAGTCCATGTGTCCCATTAGCAGAACGCACCTCTGAATATCTCAACTATTAAAACACTACATGTTTCTATAGTCAGGGAGAATTTTCTTGAATTCGCTTTCAGTTGGACAAACCAGTTTCCACAAAACTCCAGCCCAGATGAAAGAGGTTAGGAGATAAATTGATTCTGCTATAACACGTGTTCTGTCAGTGTGAATTGGTTTTAACGTGATTGATGAATAGGGGAAACGCTGTTTCTAAAACACAAACTTGTGTTGGCTATAATGTGATTCCATTGGTGTGTGGAGGAGTACGCATTGACATCAGACGATCGTTTCGCAGGCTTTGTCCTGAATATGCGCAATGTCAGCATCAAAAGAGTCTCCGCACCTGCGTCACGTGATCGTTTCTCAGACTTTGTTGTGAAGCGCTTTCTGCGAGAGGTACAGTACTCCGTGATTTATGGAGATCGAACAAAAAAATAAGCTGAAAATCCTGTAGATGTGCCTGCCTTTAGTGCTAGCAGTGGTTTTAAGAGCCACTATGCTTTTCATAACGTAAAGTTATGTGGTGAAGTTGTCAATGCAGACAAGGAGCCTGCAATGGCATTTCCTCCCATAGTAAAAAATATTATAATAAAAAAAATTGAATGATCAAGAAGGCTATTACTCAGGTCTAATTTTCAATTTGGATGAGACAGGTTGAAATTGGAAGTGAATGCCATCAAGAACCTACATTTCTATGAATGAAGCACATGTTCCAGGCTTTAACGTGGCAAAGGATTGTATCACTGTGGTGCTGGGTGCCAGTGCCAGTGGAGATTGAAAGCTTAAGCCTGTGGTGGTGTCCGACTCTGCTAACCTGTGAACTTTGAAAGGTTACTTTAAGTCTACTCGAGACGTCTACTTTAGATCAAGCAAAAGAGGTTGGATGACGGGGAAATTTTTTTCTGACTTATTGTTGATGTTTTGGAAGATGTATTTAGAAAGTATCGCAAGTAAAAAAAATTGGATTTCAAGTTTCTCCTCATCCTGGATAATGTGCCAAGCCATCCTCCCACCATTGGTGAGCTTTCTGAAAACATCAAAGTGCTACTTCTACTCCCAAACTCAACCTCTCTCCTTCAATGCACGTACCAGGGTGCAGTAGCAGCTTTTAAAGCTTATTATTTAAGGTGCAGCCACTAAGGGGGATAAGGACAATGTTCTTCAATTCTGGAAGAGCTTTAACATCAAGAATGCAATTGATATTATCTTGGAGGTATGGGGTGATGTCAGTAAGGACTGCTTAGAGGCAGTTTGGCAGAAATTTCTCAAGATTTTAAAACCGCCAGAGAATCTCCCAAGAATCAAAGAACATTGTGTTGATCTTGCAAGCAAGTAGGATTTGAAGAAGTGGAGAGTGAGGATATTAAAGAGCTGCTTGAGTCACACTGTGAAGACGGGGAGGTGATGGCCTAGCAGTATTTTCACTGGACTGTTAATCCAGGGACCCAGATAACATTCTAGGGAACCTAGGTTCAAATCCCGCCATAGCAGATGATTAAAATTTGAATTCAATAAATATCTGGAATTAAGAGTCTAATGATCGCCATGAATCCATTGTTGATTGTTGGGAAAAACCCATCTGGTTCACTAATGTCCTTTAGGGAAGGAAGCTACCTGGTCTGGCCTACATGTGACTCCAGGCCCACAGCAATGAGGTTGACTCTTAAATGCCCTCTAGGCAATAAAGGATAGGTAATAAATGCCGCCAAGCCAGCCACACCCTCATCTGTGAATGAATAAAGAGGGGAAAAAAAGACATCTCTACAGCTGATCTACAACAACTTGTTGCTGTTGGGGGAAGTGAAAGCTGGAGATGTCCAGGATGCAGCACCACAAGAGCTTTGCACATCTGTTTTGTCTTCTATCCTGAGGGAAATTGAGAAGCAGTTGCAGCTCTTAGAGGACAATGACTTCAATGCAGAATGCAGCAGGGTAGCAGTTCATGGAATAAGATCTTCTTTGCCAACCTATGAACTGCTTAGTCATTAAAGAAGAAAAAGGGCAAAGCAGCAAAAACTGGATATCTTTTTCAAGCCAAACCCCAGAAAACAGTCAGAAGACAATGAACCACAACCATCCACTTCTGGATTTTTTGCCCTAACCCTGCAACCTCAACTGCACCTGAAGGTGGTAATGATGATGATGATGATGATGATGATGATGACGATGACCACCACCACCCTCAGCCCCTGCATTAGCAACAGAGCAACCTCAAAACCTCCTCCCTCATCAGGCATCCTGACATTTTTCAAGGTAAGTTGTTAAATTTACTTTTATCTCATTACTAGATATGAATTAAACATTTATTCAAACTGGGCTATCCTTGTGTTAGGCTTTTGAGTGATTTTTTTTTGGTGATCTGTCCCTAACCCCACTTTTCCCATAGGCCCCATTATTTCTATACCGTGGTGTTGCGTAGGAATGCAACTATCATGTTATAGCAGAACCAACTTTAATGCTGAACAAAATGGCACTTAGAAATGAACTTAGAGTGCCACTTATTGGTGAAGTAATGAACAGCAAGAGCTGTGAACACAGATGCAAGTCAAGGACCACAATTTTAGCCCAAGCCTCCAGCACTTTTGTTTAACGTATCAAAATTGTATTCTTTTGTGGGGGTTTCACTGTTGTTATCCTCTTTCACTCCTTCATGTGCAAAGAATTCTCCCTCAAAAGCACATTCACAGACATTTTGAAGAAATACATCAGGTATGCATTGACTAAAATGCAAAATCTGCTGATTGGGTCAACCAACTGGACAGTGGCCTTCAAGAATTCAGGGTCTATAAATGAAGTAAAGCTCAACTGACAATGAATTAAATTCACTTTCAAGCAGTTTCTCCCACAGAACTTTCAGGGACCAAGTCACACAGGAAGCCATCATACTGCAGTGTAAAATGATCATTTATGTCCTTTCTTCTTCAACCTCCAACTTGTTGATTGTCAGAGTCAAAATGCTTCAAAGAAGGCCATTCAGCCCATTGAGTCCATGTCAATTACTTATACAGCAAACCAATCCATCCTCGTTCAGTGCTCTGTCCCCACAGTCCTTCAGTTTCTTTCAAGATCCCAACCCGTTTCCTCTTGAAATTGTTCATTGTCTCCACTGGCCTTTCACAAGCAGTGAATTCTGGGTCATTACCACCCTCTCCACAAAAAAAGCCCAGACTGCATCCATAGCTCAAAACCTTTAAGCCAATCCTAGTCCTTTGGCTGTAGGTAGATGAACAGGAGGCTGGAAAAACATAGCAGGCCAGGCAGCGTCTAGAGGAAAGGAGTGGTCAACGTTTTGGTATCTTTTGACCATCAGTTTAATGTGAACAACTTTTCTTTGTCTACCCCTACCAAACTGTTACACAATCTTGTACACATTGATCAAATCCGCCCCTCGATCTCTGCCACAAAAATGACAATACCAGCTTCTCCAATATTGTGAGCAAATAAAAAGGCACAATCTCTTATTTCTGTTTCAAAACAAAACCAAGCCCATTACAGTTTCTTGGCTGATACTGGCTAAGCCTTGACGGCACGTGATCAGTTACTCAGCCTCATTTTTCCAAAAAAAAAGACTTACAATTGTTATCACATCATTGGGAGAGATAGCAAGAATGAGCAAGAGAGAGTAGGAGGGATAGAAAGACGTGGAAAGTGAAAGGAAAGAGTGACAGAGTGAGACAAAACAAGGACAGAGAGAGAGCAAGGCGTGTGCAAGAGAGATTGAGAGCGAGAGGAGAACAAGAGGAGAGAATGAGAGAGAGAATGTGAGAGTGAGAGCAACTAAGAGAGAGAGTGAGAGAATGTGAAAGACAGAATGTGAGACAGAACAAGAAAGAAAGAGAAAGAGAGCACAAGGCAGTGAGAGAGAGCGAGGAGAAAAGGGAGATTGAGCAAAGGAGAGTGAGAGAAGAGAGAGAACGAAAGAGCAAATGACAGCAAAAGAGATTGAGAGAGAATAGGAGAGTGAGACAGCAATTAAGAGACAAAGCCAAAGCTAGAATGAGAGAGAGGGAATTGCAGCTGATTTGTAAACTCAGTTTACTATTCTGTCCTCAAATCTCCAACAAGCATCCAAAATCAAATCTCTCTTTCCAAAATAAGCAACAGCGATTGCTTCCAATGCAACCGTTCACAGCGCCTATGTTTGTACTCTCAGCTGACACAAATTTCATGAAAGTGACGAAAGAAACCATGAAATCAGTTGTACATGAGCAGAAAACCTTTCATCACCAACCAATGTGTCACTAATACTTTCAATTTGATTGCTCACTGGTTTCTAATGGAAGTGTTTCTGACTGAATAGTCATTGCTTTGATTAATCCATATTCCAACCGTAAAAAAAAAACTGATCGCTGAACTGAAGGCTGCTGCTAATTTATCACTTGCTTGATTTGAAAACACAACACTAGGTTTTACCTCTTTCGCAGAACTCTCCCTCACGGCCCATTGGGCATTCACACTTTGCTCCACCTTCAGGTAGCACCAAACATTTCGCTAATGGGTGGCAGGGGTTGGGATCACAAGGGTTGTGCTCATCGGCACATGTTGCTCCTGGAAAAGTAACAAATTCAATTGCATTAGTTGCATCCTGGCATCTTACAGTTCTAACCCATGTTATATACACCAGCGAACATGAAGGAATTTTAAGCAAACACTAAGAAATTTTTTAAAAAGACAAAGATTGTGACCCATGAACTACTCATGCGTGGACTTTCTGTTGGACAGCTGGTTTGGCAAAGGACTGCAAATAATAGATTACCATAGCTAGAAATTTTTTGGAGATGGATGTTGAGGGGAAAAATCTCTAAATTTGCTGATGATGCTAAGCTAGGGAGAATAGTGAACTGTGAGCATGATGCTGAATGACGTCAGAGGGACATTAACAAGGTGGCCAAATGGGCAGACCCTGGCAAAAGAATTTAAATCAGGAAAATGTGAGGTAATGCATTTTGGTAGAAGAAACACATAGAGCGTGCAAATATAGGCTCGATGGTATAACTTTGAGGGGAGTACAGAAACACAGGGACCTTGAGGTTTATGTGCATGATTCTCTGAAGGTGGCCAGGTAAGTACAAACAGTTGTTGAGAAGGCTTATAGGATGCTTAGGTTTATAAGTAGAGGCATGGGATAAAAAAAGCAAGGAAGTGATGCTACACCTCTACAAATCATTGATCAGACCACATTTGGAGAATTGTGTTCAATTCTGAACACCTTATTAAGGATGGATGTTAGAGTCCTGGAGAGAGTGCAGAAGAGATTTACTGCAATGATACCAGGAATGAGGAATTTTCAAAACAAGGAAAAATTTTAAAATTGGGCTTATTGTCCTTGGAGAAGAGAGAATTAAGAGGTGACCTTTTTGAGATGTTCAAAATTCTGAACAATTCTGACAAGTTAAAGAAGAATATTCTGTTTCCACTAGTTGGTATGTCAATATCTAGGAGTCACAATTTCAAGACTGTCTGCAGGAGAGCTAGGAGTGAGATGAGGAGAAACTTCTTTACTCAGAGAGATGTTAGCATTTGGGAATGTGCTGCCTGGGAGAGTGGTAAAGGCAGATTCCATAGGGGGTTTCAAAAGAGAGCTGGAGATATATTTGAACGTGATTAATTTCGAGCACTACAGAGATAGGGCTGGAGAGTGGGAATAACTGGGGCACTCTTTCAGGAGCCAGTACAGACATGATGGGTCGAATAGCCTCCTTCTGTACTGTAAAATTCTATGATTCTAAAACGTGGAATTCTTTGTGAAGTCTGAACAAAGGCAGGGATGAAAGAAAGTCTAGAGTGGAAATGTTTTCCGTTCAATGGACATTTTCTACTTCCTCAGTTGTTCAGGAACATGACTATTGTGGTACACTTCAGTTCTGAAAAAGGGACACTTTTCTACTTTTTACGTCCCAAATAAACACTGCACCCAGTCAGGCATAAAAGAGGGAAGAGATAGCCAAGTGAGAACTTAAGGAATAGAGTCAGGGGTAAATCAAACAGCTCTTTCAGCCTGCTTACCGTTCATTACCTCAACTCTACCTCAACTCTACATTTCACTCGCTATCCCTTGATTTCCTTAGGTTAGTTTCTGAAGTAAGGTTTGATAAGCTGCCACCCCAGCAATGTGTACTCAACTCAACAATGGTGACTCTTTCTACCAGCATCAAGTTGTCATGTTTTATTCTCAATATCAGACAATTTTGTAGTCCCCAGAGCTGAGGAATGCAATTTCAGTTACAACTCACATCAGACTCTGGAAGTGTACTGCAGTGAGCTGTCATTTACCAGGAACTTTTCAGGCATATGTCAAGCAGAACCCATATACACAGGGCAGATTTTTATTCTGAACTGCATCAAGCCCAAGTTCCATTTTTGAAAGGACAATGCCACAACAAACTGTGGCATCCAGTTCCTTTTGAAAAAGGAACAGTTCTTATAAATTAATAAACACACAGAGCTTGGAGTCTCAAGTTTCCAGAAATTAAGTCATCCGTATTGTCACGCATAAGATTTTTATTTTTAATTGTACTCTTTGATGGATTTTTCTGTTAGTTATGTGCTGACACACTCAGAAAGCCATCAAACGTTCAGCTCTTGAAAAATGCACATATTTTCTGTTTTCTGCTGTTCATGCAGACAATCTTTCTGTCAGGGACATATCCTACTTAATTAATAGGATAGCAAGAGAAAGGGCTAAGGAAAGCTTTGGACAAAGACACAACTGGATTAATTAGTTAGAAATTATTACGGCTCTGTTAAAATTAAAGTATTTTGATATGGTGTCACATAGGAGGCTGGTAAATAAGATAAGCATGGAGGCTGCAGAAGGACTGGGACAGGCTAGGAGAGTGGGCAAAGAAGTGGCAGATGGAATACAATGTGGGAAAAGGTGAGGCTCTGCACATTGCAAGGAAGAATACAGGCAGAAACTATTTTCAAAATGGGGAAAGGCTTCAGAAATCTGAAGCACAAAGGGGCTTAGGAGTCCTAGTTCAGGATTCCCGTAAGGTTAAACATGCAGGTTCAGGTGGCAGTTAGGAAAGCAAATGTAATGTTGGCACTCATTTTGAGACGGCTAGAAATAAAGAGCAGAGATGTACTGCTGAGGCTGTACAAGGCATTGGTCAGATCACATTTGGAATATTATGAGCTCCCTATCTAGGGAAGGATGTGCTGGCCTTGGAGGGGTCCAGAGGAGGTTCACAAGAATTATCCTAAGAATAAATAATGAGGGGCAGTTGAGGACTCTAGGTCTGTACTTGGCGGAGTTTAGAAGAATGAGGGAGCGATCTCATTGCAACTGAGGGGCCTAGAATGAGTAGATGTGGAGAAGATGTTTCCACTAGTAGGAGAGACTAGGACTCGAGATCACAGCCTCAGAATGAAAGAACTGAGGAGGAATTTCTTCAGCCAGAGGATGGTGACTCTGTAGAACTCATTGCTGCAGAGGGCCTTGGTGGCCAAGTCATTGAGGTATTTAAGACAGAGATAGATAGGTTCTTGGTTAGACATGGGATCAAGGGTTACAGGGAGAAGGCAGAAAAATAAGGTTGAGAAACATGTCAGCCATGATCGAATGGTGGAGCAGACTTGATGGGCTGACTATCCCTGTCTTAAGTATACTTAGTGACATGGCCTCCATAGCCCTCCGCAGCAAGGAGTTCCACAGCATCACCACCCACTGGCTGAAGAAATTCCTCCTCATTTCAGTTCTAAAGGGTCATTCATTCACTCTGAGGCTGTGCCTTTAGGTCCTAGTCTCTCCTATCAGTGAAAACATCTTTTCCATGTCCTCTCATTCTAAGACTCTCAGTACTGTATCAGTTGCAATGAGATTGCCCCTCATCCTTCTGAACTCCATCCCAGTACCGATCCAAGAGTCCTCAACTGCTCCTCATATAACAAGCTCTTCATTCTCAGGTCCAATATCTTATAGTCATATGGTTAACCTTCCCTCAAGTTTAACAAGCTATGGCTACACTATCTAATAAAGATATTAATCATCTGGGTTGCCTGAAACTAAATTCCAACTCCTAAATGGATGGTCTCATTATCCAAGTTTCATTAATGAACCAGGGGGGTCAATCATCAAAAGTACCATTGAGTGCCTGGAAAATAAATAGGTAATGTGTAATTCTAAGATTGTTGAGGTTGGTTGGCTCGCCGAGCTGGTTTCTTGTTTCGCAGACGTTTCATTACCATGCTTGGTAACATCCTCAGTGCAGCTGCACTGCGAAACAAGAAACCAGCTCGGCGAGCCAACCAACCTCAACACCCACATCTGTGCTACAAATCTACTCCAAAACCTTAGAGACCTACGGGCGCAACATGCTCAAATTGGCAAGAAAATGGGAAAACTACGCCAAACGAGAGATCGCAACCCGCAAACAACTCTACTTCCTATATGGATGCCTCGGGAACCAGGTATTACCACGCAGTGTGAAGTACAAACCACCCATCAACAACCCATAAGCCCGGAAAACAGCAGAACAAAACGGCCGCAAGACAGTAAGGGTAATGATAAATGACACACACAACCGGCTCCACAAATGCAACAGAGAAATTACGTGCCAAAAAACGTTATTCCAGGAAGCTACCAATCAAGACTGGACAACCGACATGGAACGAGCCATTAACATCAGCTAACAGACCACAAGAGCCAAGAAAAGACAGACTCTGCAAGACAAGCTAACCACACTTACCCACAAAAACGACAACAACAGAACACACACATGGATAAGGAACCTCTCCGACAGGAAACTGACAGACCCGGAATAAGCCGTTCTCACTCGGGGACTGAACTATAACTACAGGGACACCAACAAAACGGAATTCCTAGCTACACTGGAAGCCACACTCAAGACCAACAATATCAATGAAGAAACACAACAAACTATAAGACAGACAGTAGTCCCGATACTAACCAGAAGGAGCGAACTCAACACCCTCAACACACGGGAAAGACAAGCTTTGGACGGATTAAAGAAGGACAAGAACATCAGAATACTATCCGCAGACAAAGGGCACATGACAGTGATACTGAATAAAAGGGACTACATCTCCAAAGCACAAGCACTGCTCACCAACGAGAACACATACTGGCCAGTACAGACTGACCCGACACCACAACTAGGCAACAAAATCCTCTACATGCTACAAAGACTTAAACAAACAGGACAGATCAACAAAACAGACTTCTTAAGAATGAAACCCGAAGGAACCAACACACCCTGATTTTACGGCCTCCCTAAAGTGCACAAGCTGGAAGTCCCCCTCAGACCCATAGTCTCCCTACCAGGCACTCCATCGCACAGATTAGCCAGAGAACTACAAAGGAGACTCAGGCACCTAGTCAACAAGTCACCCCACTCTATCCACTCAGCCCAAGAATTCCTGAACTCCATCAAAGACATAAAGATAGAGGACGAAGAGACCATGATATCGTTTGATGTCACTGCCCTATTCACATCAATAGACATACCACTAGCAAGGGAAACAATGACAACACTACTTGAACAAGAACACTACCCCAGTGAAACCATCTCCAAGGACAACATGCTCCAACTATTGGACCTATGCCTGACCACCCACTTCACTTTCAACGGCCAAACATTCAAGCAAATCAACAGGACACCCATGGGATCGCCTATCTCCGGACTCATAGCAGAAGCAGTGATGCAAAAACTGGAAAGGACTGCCCTTCTGCAAATCCAACCTAAACTGTGGATACGCTACGTAGATGACACCTTTGTCATCATTAAACGGACCAAATCAGAAAAGACACACAAACTTATAAACAACACCCTCACCGGAATAAAATTCACCAGAGAGGAGGAGAAGAACAAACATCTCCCATTCCTGGGCGTCATGGTAGAGCGCAAGACAAATAGGGAACTGCAATCGAACATACACAGAAAATCCACACACACACACCAGGGACTGAACTTCAACAGTAGCCATCCCAACACACCCATATGAAGCTGCGTGAGAACACAATTTAAAAGGGCAACAACACACAGCAGCAGCACAGAACTACGCCAAGAGCTGCACTGAGGATGTTACCCAGCACGGTAACGAAACGTCTGCGAAACAAGAAACCAGCTCGGCGAGCCAACCAACCTCAACAACCTCAACACCCACAGCCCAAGCTACAAATCTACTCCAAAACCTTGTAATTCTAAGCCTTAAGCTCCTGAATTCATAGTAGACGTTGGTGAGGTAGGTGTTCATCTCTCTGGAAAATAATGCAGATATAAAAACAGAAAGTGCTGGAGAAACTGAGCAGGTCTGGCAGCCTCTGTGGACAGAAACACAGAGTTAACATTTTGTGTCCAAAAAGAACTCTTCTTCAGAACTTCATTCTCCAACACCTTCTGTTTACTTTTTATTTCAAAACACCAGCAACTGCAGGATTTTGCTTTTATTTGAATGCTCATCCAGAGACCCGGGCTAATTCTCTCATGGCTGCTTGTGGAGTTTGAATTTGATTCATAAATTTGGAATATAAAGCTTGTCTCTGCAATGGTGACCATGAAGCTGCTGTAAAAACCCCATCTGGTTCATTAGTGTCCCTTAGGGAAGGAAATCTGCCATCCTTACTCAGTCTGACCTTTATGTGACTTCAGACCCAGGGTAATGTGGGTGACTCTTTACCTGCCTTTTCAAATGGTCTCCAGTAAGGCACGCAGTTCAAGGGCAGTTAGGGATGTGCAATAAATGCTGGTTGTGCCAGCGACAGCCACATACCATAAAGAAAATAAACCTTCATTCAGTCTCAAACACTTATGTAAAGCCCAGTTGACTGATCTTCAAGTCTGCGGAGATGTCCTGGACTGGAACACAATAACTGGGGAACGCAGTGCAAAGTATCCTGGCATTCAAAGTTGTTGAGCTGCCAGATGTAGTGCAGCGTTAGGCTGGATAGGTCAAATTTAACCCAAGTATCTTCCCTCCTTCATCCCGCCAAAATCTCCAGAAAATAAGCACTCATCTCCCGCACCAGCCGTCCCCACACCAACTGCCATGAAGATAGAAGAAAGCGCGTCTGCCATGATTATATTCTCAATCAAAGATTTCTGTTGCAGTTACTTCTAATGTTTGGTACGCTTGCAATGCACCCAGACTGAAGCCTAGTGAAAATGGGACTCATAACATTCTTTCCAAAAGTTTGAGTAGTTTGGAAAGCAAATTAAAAACTGATTTAATTTTTCTGGTGCTTCAATATTTACAGTGTCTTCTGCTACACTAACTACTCTTACATAAAGAAATTGCCCTCAAATTTGTGGGAGCCCTGATCAAGGCAGATGATTCAGGAACACCTGGATTGCATGTCTGTCCTTCTCCCACACAAATGACTTTAAACTCAGGATTTGTGAGAATATTTTTGCATGTGATTGTGAGTGCACAAGCTTGCATGTGAGAGTACGCGAGCAAATGTTTGTGTTTGCGTGAGGGTATGAAAGTATATGTGTGAGTGTGAGAAAGTGAGAGTGTGAGTATGTGTGTGAGTGTTAGAGAGTCCTTGAAAGTGCATGTGTGCTGCGTATGTGTGCCTGTGTGCGCGCGCATGCGCATGGGGATGCAAGCACAAAGATGTACCTGTGAGACTGTTTGTGTGAGGGCATGCATGTGCATATATGTAGGACAGTAATGAGTGCGTGCGTGTATGTGCATGCATGTGCATGTGCGTGAGAGAGAGAGAGAAAGAAAGACAGACAGACAGTGAGGGTTGCAGCAAACTGATGACTGCAGGAGCCTGGGAGGTTCAGATGCAAGTGAGTAAGCACAGAGCAACAGGGGAGTTAGGGTACGGGTTGCAGAGTTCTGGATGATGTCAAGGTGAATGAGGTAGATTGTGGGAGACCAGGCAAAAGTCCACTGAGATAGTCAAAGACACGATTGATGATTTCAGCAGACCCCAATTTAAAATATTGATTATAATCATTTCTATTTGTGCTATCTTACTTATCCAAAACAGGAATCCCTAAGTAAAGTCAATACAAATATAGAAGCTATTTTATTGACACTTCTTTCAGTTATATTACCTGTTATTGAGGAATGAGGAGCCCCTGAAAACCAAAACACAGCCTTTGAGAAAACAAAATATAGACCCTCCAGAAAATCTCAAGAAGAGCCCACAAAAGGCATGGTGGCTCAGTGGTTAGCACTGCTACCTCACAGCACCAGGGACTCAGGTTCAATTCCACCCTTGGGTGACTGTCTGTGTGGAGTTTGCATGTTCTCCCTGTGTCTGTGTGGGTTTCCTACCACAGTCAAAAGATATGCAGGTTAGGTGGATTGGCCATGGGAAATGCTGGGGAACAGGGATTTGGTGGGATGAGGGTTGGTGTGGACTCAATGGGCTGAGTGGCCTGCTTCCGCACTGTAGAGATTCTTGGGAAAGAAGAATTACTTTGCAACCTGCTGCAAGAATTAGTGATGTTGTTTATTTGTCAGCGGACCCGAAACATTAACCCTGATTGTTTTCTTCACAGATGCTGCCAGACCTGCTGAGCTTTTCCAGCAACTTCCGTTTTTGTTCCTGACTTACAGCATCTGCAGTTCTTTCGGTTTTTGTACATTTAACTGCCGGGATGTTTACCTGAAAACCCACTGTCACACTCACAGTGGAACATCTCTGCTTCCTTCACGTGGCACTTGCCATTATTCTTACAGGGGTTGTTTTGACAGGGGTTATTTCCACATTCACCAACGCCGCTGCCATACAGGACATCACTGCCTGTTTCCTCAAGGTCATAGACCAGGTTATTGACGTCCAGCAATCGGATGCAGCCCTTCAGCCCCTTGTTTGCTGCTGTTCTCTCTGTTACGCTGCAAAAATAGGAGGCATTTTTGTGAAACCTAAAAACTGCCATTAGCTGGGTGACTGACACAATGAGCAAACAGAATTACAGGTATTTAACATAAAAACCCGCTTGCAATCAAAATCCAAATACAGATGGTGCTTAATATTTTACATGAAAAATGAATAAAATGCCACAAAACACTCGACTGGCCAGACAAGGGATAAAACAAGAGTTCATATTTCAGAGTGTTGAGTTTTCACCAGAATTGATCAACCTGAAACTTTAACCCAGTTTCTCTTTCCAGAGGTACTATCTGACTTGCTGAGTATTATACTGACTGTAACTTCACTCATCATTCAGCTCTATTCTCATCACTTTTCCATATCATGTTCCTTGGTGACTTGGCTTGCATATTCAATCTGGGAGCGTTTCGACATGTATCCCTCAGTAGGATCCAAATCCTCTTCCTGATCTGTGCCAAGCTGTCTGTACTACTGATCTCACACCTTTACATTCAGGCAACAACAATCTGCAATTACTGCCATCCAGTACTTGCTAAAAGAAACATGTCCATCAGTGCAGGAGGTCAGGTTAGTGGCTCCAGTAATTCTCAGATATGAACACTCCTCCAGATACTGCTTCGCCTTTCCTTTGATCCCCGTTCCTTTTCCTAATTTCACCTCTTGTCGAGTTTCCACTCTGACCCTCCCCTCACTGCACTTAAACAATTAGGAAAGGCATCAGTTTCATCATTTTATATTCTGGCCTCAAAGAATTTCAAGCCAGGCCTAATTTCTTGTAAAATCTTCATCTCTGCTCTCACTGGGGAGGTGATAGCCTAGTGGTATTATCACTAAACTAGAGACGCAGGTAACAGTCTGAAGACCTGGGTTTGAATCCTGCTATGGCAGATGGTGGAATTTGAATTCAGTAAAAATTGGAATCAGAAATTGAATAATGCCCATGAAACTGTTGCCAATTATTGGGGAAAAACAACCCATCTACCCGCCTTAGAACCTCTACAGTGCGGGAAAAGGCCATTTGGCCCATTGAGTCTGAACCAATTCTCTGAAGAGCATCTCACCCACATGCAGTTCCATCACACCCTATTCCTGCACTCACATTGGCTAACCCACCTGGCCTACACTATGGGACAATTTAGCATGGCCAATTCACCTAACCTGCACATCTTTGGATGTGGGAGGAAACCAGAGCACTTACACAGACACAGGGAGAACGTGCAAACTTCATACTGGCAGTCGTTTAAGGCTGGAATCAAACCTGGATCCATGGCACTGGGAGGCAGTGGTGCTAACCACTGTGTCACTCTTCAGGAAAGGAAACCTGTCATGTTTACCTGGTATGGCCTACATATGACTCTAGACCCATAGCAATGTGGTTTACTCTTAACTGCTGTTCAGTCACTCAGGGATGGGCAATAAATGCTGGCCTAGTGATACCTGTAACGCGTGCACAAATGAAAATAAGGAATCTTCCTCCTGCAGAAGACCCTGTTCCTGATTTCGAGAATTCCTTCCCCAAAGGAAATCAATTCCGTCCCATGCCCCAAAACTTCTGTCATCTTAATCCATTCCCCCGAGCATACAGCACCCTATTCTCTCAGGTCCAGTCCTGATATTACTGGCAAAACTGCTGATACCCGCGGTGCAGTTTGGCAGTAAACAACCTTGACCAAGTATAAGCTGAACACCAACTCACTGAAACCTTCCTCTTTCCCCCTCTTGTCACCTCAGCAAAGGGGTTTACAGAATTCTTACAATGCTCAGCGCAGTACTGCATTGTTGAATCATGAGAAACAGGAAGGGGAACCAAGTTGAAGTTTGCACAAAAAAGCTGAAACACTCCCAAAAGCTTGCATCGACTCTGGCCCACTTTTAATCTGAACAATTATAGACGTTCTTATAGAGCCTGGAGTGAGACTAAATAAGCAACTATAACAGACCACACAAAATGTCATATCAACCACAGTTATATATAGCAGCAGCTCACACGCAATGTAGTAATTTTGAAGTGTGGGCGCAGTTGTAACGTAGAAAACGTGAGAACCAAATTGTTTTAACAAAGGTGGCACAGTGGCTCACAGCGCCAGGGACCTGGGTTCAATTCCACCCTCGGGCAACTGTCTGTGTGGAGTTTGCACATTCTCCCTGTGTCTGCGTGGGTTTTCTCCGGTTTCCTTCCACAGTCCAAAGATGTGCGGGTTCGGTGGATTGGCAATGCTAAATTACCCATAGTTTTTAGGGATGTATAGATTAGGTGGGTGATAGGGGGGAATGGGTCTGGGTGGGATACTCTGAGGGTCGGTGTGGATTTGTTGGGCCAAAGGGCCTGTTTCCACACTGTAGGGATTCTACGATATGTGTTAGAAACAATATTGAGATAACCAGAGATAAGAGTCCTATCTTTCATTGAAATAATGATTCCTATACATCCACCATGAGTGGCCAGATAGGGTTTCAGTTTAATGTCTCATCTGATCGTCAAGAGTTTCTGGAGTTGTGGGAACACAGTGAACTCAGGCAATCAGACGTTCCAAATGAAAATAACATCTCCCAGGAGTCATAACAAACACTTACAGTGCCATTTCATCCTCTGGGGCCCCTCCCAGGAACAGGTCAGTATCCAGGTTTAGTCCATCAGTTCCATCAGGACTTTGCCCAAGCACATGTGGTTCACCATCCACCGATAGCATTCCATTGCGTCGGTTACGGTTCACAACGACTTGGTGCCATTTCCCAGGCTCTATCAGTGTTTTACTGATGATGATACCTGTTCCAGAGCCAGTGTTGAACCTGCAGGGATTGAGAATGAAGCAAATTGACTAAAGGCAAAAAAACCAGGTGCAGATCAAAAATCCAGTACCTCAACTCAGAGACGGTTTACTCAGAGGCCCCATGCAGTTGCTGCGTTGCAACAATTATCAACTTCCCTTGGCTTCTTAATAAGATCTACTTCTGACTTTCACCAGCCTCAGAACTGTAACAGTTAAGAACAAAAATTTGTAAGAAATTTCCCAAATAAGTATAAGGAAAATGAACACTGAGCAAGAAAAGGAGAGGTTAAGAACATTGACCGATATCATGAACAAAGAAATTGGTTTTGAGGAAGTTGTTAAAGGTGTAGAGAGCGACAGAAGGGTTTAATGTAGTTGTTCTGACCTCATTTCTTTCTCCCCTGGGCTGTACAAAACGATATGAAGGGTGTCAATGTGGTAGGGGGAGAAAGTAAATAGCATTCTGAACCTCAGCGAAATTTACTGAGTAACAGAGTTACGGTTAATCTAACTGAAGGAAAGTTGGATTTGGAATATGTTCAAAGTTTTTAAAATGTTGGGAGATATAGATAAGATGAAATCTGGCAGAGTTCATTAACCTGCTGTAATAAAAGACACAAATACAAACTTGCTCCATAAAATTAAATTGTCACCTTCCCTCTCAATGAACAGTGGATATCTAGAACAGGCTCTGAAGAATGAGGGATGGATGAATGCCTGGATATTAAACAGGCTGATTGTTAGAGAGATAAATCTGTTCATGTAGGAACAAAACAACAAAACTAGGAAAGTCAAAGGTGAGAAAAGATGATATGGTCCATTGAGACTCATCCAATTAGTATTTTAATCTCCCAGCACATCATCCAATCATATTTTAAACAGGCCAGATGTTTTTGTCTTTTCTGCCATCTGGTAGATTATTAAAAACATTTATTACAATATTCACATCATTAAATACTTTGAAATGGCTAGGCTCTGATGTTCTGAGACCATGGTTATAGTTAATCTATAGAATGCCAGTGTTAGAAGTTAACTAATAGATACAATGTAATTATACAACAAAACCTTGAGAATAAAGGGTGAACACCTCAAGGACCAAGATAAAATTTCTTTATATTCTTATCTGAAAATCTAAATGAGGCACCACCCAAATTATGTATAGGATACACTGGCATATGACCATAATATATATGGTTACATTGAAATTTACATTTTTACAGTGCAAAGGGAGTGGTCTGCTTACATCATGCCTTTCATTATTTTAAAATGATCAAAATCAATAACTAGCAACTGAACCCAGTTAAGCAATTTGCTTCTTTTAACAGGAACGTACATCTTACCTTAGCTCCACGTGGCCCCTCACAAGGGCGAGAGAGATGAAGTCTTTGCCTTTCTTCTGTCCATTGTACAGCAGCAAGCCATCCAGGTCAGAGGCTCGGAACTCAAGATTGATACGTACTGTGTAGTAAGCCTTCATTGTCTTAAATGCTAAGTACGACTTGCCTCCAAACTCAGGTATATGGTATATGATTGCTGTATAAAACAAAACAGATCTTAACAGAGCCCAAAGTATCAGCAATGATAGTGATTTCTGAAAATTACCGACAATAACATACGAAACAAATAAGTAATATTTAAAAAAGAGACTTTAGAAGATTTTATATACCAGTAACAATTAATAGAAATGGAGATAAATTTTGTTTTGTTTTTATTTTTGCTTTCATTTTAAAATCTAGAATCTCTTTTTGAGATTCCTCTTTTTCGCAATAATCCTCAATGCAATAAGAACTACATGTACTAATGGGCTGCCAAATGTGAGTTGTGTGAACATTGCATTAATGACTTGTTCTGTTAACTCCAGCTGTCCAGCATCTTAAGCATACTTTACAATTTGACAAGCCCATTTATTCCTTATCTCGTTGAGTTCTCTCAAACTAAGAACAGTGGCGATATGGTGAAACACAGACTGAATTACACACTCTGGGAGATCTAGAATACCAATACAGAAAAATAATTGCTCCAATTTCTTTACAATCCCCAAAAAAGATTACCGTGTGTTAAAATGAAAAGGCATTTACTGTAATAATAGTGAATTGCATGTGACAACATTAATTATGCAGCTACTGAAGTAGCATCTCAGCTCAATGTGAATTTCAGTCCAAAAATAGTTGACGATAATGAAATGAATCAGCATGGACACCACTTCAACAAAACAAAAAAGAAATCAGGAGGTTGCCTTGCATCAGGTTTGTTTGGGGAATGTACCTGATGAGGCCAAAAAGTATGGAAAATGACAATAAGGTAATTTCAATTGCAGCATATTCAAAACATATAAATTTATTTAGCTACCAGCTACAGAAGAAAACACAAAGGGGTTAAGGGTGTCATTAAATGGAAGTGAAAAATGCACAGGTCTGTGGGGAAAGTATGGGAGTAGGACTAATTGAATCTCTCTTTCAAACAGTGGCACAGATGTGACTCAATTAGTTTAATGCGTTTTTTTTAAACTTACAAGACAAGCAAAATGTTAACAAAGATGCACATTTAATAAAATAAAATTAATCTAATCAAAGATTCTGGTTAGTCTCTTTATTTGTATGTCTGCTAGCTTCTTTCAAAGAAGTAACAACATTGACAAGAAAAAAAAGGCTACATCTTTTGCACATTCAGCTAAGATGCACCATTCTAACGCATTAGGGACCCAGCCACTGCAGAGTGGAAGGGTGACAGGTTTGTGGCAGAGTCCTACAAGTTTGAATTCCTGATTTCAGCCATCCTACCTTTTGGAGGTGGTTTGCAAAGGTGCATCACTTTCCCACAGAAGTGGGGAACACAGGAAAGGTTAGCTCCTGCAGGCTGTCACACAACGCTGTTGGCTGAAGTCTAGAAATTAGCAACTTCCCTAATCTTTTGACACAGACATGATATTTAGAGAGGCCAAGAAAAGGAAATAGGCTTCCTAATAAATTAAACATTTGTAGGCATGCACGTCGGCAATGTCCCAGGTTCAAATGCTGCTCTATCCTAAGGAAGTTAATCACAACCAAGACAGTTATACTTAGGAAAACCGAGACAATGAGAATGACCATTGTCCCCACTCTTGCTTCTGATGCAATGAAAATAGGCAAGATTGAATGTCTTTCCAGCAGATAGGTTTAGGTTCAGATTTAACATTGTTAAAATTGCCTCCCATCATTAAAACAAAACGAGGAACTCCAGATGCTGGAAATCTGAAACAAAAGCAGAAATTTCTGGAGAAACTCAGCAGGTCTGGCAGTGTCTATGGAGAGAGTAACAAAGTTAACATTAACTTGAGTTCTAGAAAAGAATCACTGGACTCGAAATATTAACTGTGCTTTCTCTTCACAGATGCTGCCAAACCTGTTGAGTTTCTCCAGCAATTTCTGTTTATGCCTCCCATTCATGAACAAAACTCAGCAATGGTTAATTGCCACATTTACAAAATCCTGTAGGGCCTTGAGAACTTGACAGTCGTCATCATCAGCAGAAGAAACGAAAAACTGGAGAGAATTCACCTTTGGCAAAGAAAATGTCTTACCCTTAAAGACATTGTCTGGAGAAATCTAGACCCCATTATGAGTTTTACATTTCTTACTTTGCTCACAAACAGCTCCTCCCCTTCCAGCTGGGCAGCTGCATGTGTAATCCTTCCCATCATCTTCACAAGTGCCTCCATGGAGACAAGGGTGTAAATCACAAGGTTTTGGAACGTAGACGTCTGGCAGTTCGGCAGGAGTCTCCTTGGAGTGAAGGGGCCGCCTGGGGGTGGCTGCCTTTGTCGTGGTTGTCGGAGAGGTGGGAAGCCCCTTGACCACTTGGTGGGACTTGGGCCGCCTGGTGGTAAAGTGGGGCCGCCTGGTGATTGCCAGTGGGAGGGTGACCAGCGTGGACGCAGTGGTTACTGGGACTGTTGTGGCTGCCGTGGTTGTGCTGGTGGTTGTAAACAGCACTGGTGCCAAATCTACAGTTTGAAAAAAAATCAAACAGGAAAACCCACACACAAACTGAATTGAACCACCCGCCCCGTAACGTTTGGCAGCAGAATTAAAAACACCATGATACATTGCATTTACATAAATCTGTCAGATGTTAATTATAACAACCACCTCCATTTATATATCATCTCTTAATGTGTAAAGTATTCCGAGCGCTTCTCTGGAGTGCTAGCAGACAAAAATTGTGACACAATATTGTACATTTTAAAACGAAGATTGAATTTTTCACATTTAATTTAGAGCCATTCTTTACATAATTTAGGGGAACTTCCATTTCAAAACTCACTGTACGTTAATTTATTGTGTGAGCTATAGATCCTCTGGGTTGGATAGAGATACTCTCCAAAAGGTAAGCTTCTTTATCACCCAAATGGTTTGATACAGAAAGGAAACAGGCAACTGGTGTAACATCATCAGCTTGAAGATTAATAGTTCCTTAGTTTTAAGGGAAAAAAAAACCCAGACTGAATAGATGTACCTCCCTCTCTAGGTTATTTGCAGAATAATTTTTCAGAATTGAGCTGCTTTCTCTGGACTCAAAGCATTAACTTTGCTTTCTGTCCATAGATGCTGCCAGACCTGCTGAGTTTCTCCAGCAATTTCTCTTTCTCTTGCAGGGGTCTTTGGATTAGTAGTATAATGATATTACCACTAAACCATTGCCTTCAGCAATGAACAGAGATTCAGCAACAAAAAACACACCTAGCACAACAGGAAACACCGTTCAATTTATCATGCGGAATCTGATTCTCTCCATCTTGCTGGTTACTAAAATTTCAAATACCAGTAAAGGCTGGGAATGCATTTTTCGTTGAGGTGACTACCAGAGGAAAATAATTCTCTGCAAGACAGGATTGTGAATTAGAGCACAACATCCAAACTAACCTGAACTGAAGACCCCTCCCCACATGAAGGCTGCAAATACATCTTTCATCTGAAAGACTGAGGGATGAAGACACCCAAAACGAAACAAAACACTGGGGTGCATTGCCAGAGGAACCGAATTCAAAACCAGAGAATTTGCATTTAATTTATGTAGAGGCCAAAATTCACCTCAAAATGAGTGGTATTGGATTGGCTAACTTTCACACACAGCGCCTGATATTCAGTTCCAATGACTACATTGGTTGGACCAGAGTAAGAGCACTGTGATCAATTCTGCTCTCCATATTATATAACAAATGTAAATCACTGGCGAAGGAACAGAAAAGGTTCACAGGGACAGTCACAAAACTGAAAGGCTATAACTTTCTGAAAAGACCAACCAGGCAAAGAGTCTGACAGATACCCCAGTAGGGGTCTTTAAATTTAGAAAGGGCTCTGTACGATGGACATCGACAGAATGTTTCCATTACTGGAAGAGTTCAAACCCATGAGTGTGAACATAAGAAAGTTAACAAATAACTCTAGTAGACAATTCAGGAGTAATGCCTTTCCTCAGAGAATGGTGAGAATGTTGGACTTGCTACTCCATTGTGAGGTTGAGGTGAATAGCATAGATGCATTTAAGGAAATTTAAACTGAAGTCATTTAAGTGATAGGATTTTGGTTTTGATCTATATCGCCTATTTTTCACTGTGTCATCAAATTCCTGGAACCCATTCCTGAAGTGAAGTATAAGTGCACCTTACACCACATGGATTGCTGCAGGTCTAGAAGGTGCCTTTAGGTGCCTCAAGTGCAATTAGGGATGGACAATAAAAGTTGACATTCCATGAATGAACAAATATTCTACCTTGGAATGCAAGGAACAAAGTAGATGAAATAAGTAGTTTAGATTCAGCAGAGGTTTGTGTGGAACACAAATGTTGTCTAAGGTAATGGTGTTGGAAGAGTTAATATTACAGCTGTATCGAGCACTGCCCGATCTGATGATGTTACCCATGGAGAAGGGGCAGTCTAGCATGAAGCTAAGATGAAGGCAGATGTCTCATCTCTGACTCCTGATAGTTTTTGTAATTAGAAACATAGAAACTAGGTGTGGGAGTAGGTCATTTGGTCATTTGAACCTGTTACCCATTCAATATGATCACGACTGATCCTCAATCTTAACACCATATTCTTGCTTTCTATTCATACTCCTTGATACATTAAAAAATAAAAACATATCAATCTCTTTCTTGAACATACTCAGTGACCTGGTCTCCACAGCCTTCTGTGGTAGCAGATTCCACCATCCTGTGTGTGGTGAAGCATTTCCACATCTCAGACTTAAATGGCTTACCCCATATCCTGAGGACTGTGAATCCTGTTCTGAACTCCCCAACCAAGGGAAACAAACTGCTTTCCTCTAATCTGTCTCTAACTCTAATCTCTAACTATACCCAGAAGGTGGTAGGAATAAGGGAGTTGGAGGCAAAAACCCTCAGGACATTCAAGAAGTATTTACACGTGCACTTGTGATGGCAAGGCATAGAAGGCTACGGGCCGGGTGCTAGAAAATGGCATTAGAATAGGTAGGTGGTTGTTTTTGACTGGTATGGGCTTGATAGGCCAAAGGGCCTTTTTCTGTGCTATCAGCCCCCATGACTCTAAAACTGTGTAAGGGGGCACAGCAGAATAGGGGACAGGATTGCAGTTTTGGAAAACCCTGATCACAAATCCCAGCCCCAGGGTAACAATCTGGGCCCATGTGTTTCTAATGGGATAGGCCCACCAACAAAACAGTGCCATCGGAAAATCGCCCCTCGGAAACACATTTAGCTTTGGGATGAGGGATTTTTCCATAGTTCCAGAAGACTTAGAACACAATTCCAGACAAAGTGTTTGGACATACTTAATTTGGAAAAATATTTCTTTTCAAAATTCTGGCCATTAACTAGGCAAACTGAATGCAATTTTCTTGGTTCTCAATTCAGTAGCAGCTGAAAAGAGCTTCACATTTGGTCCTTGAACTATCAGGTTCCACAGTTTGTACATTGTTTGTATTATACTGTTTACATTGTTGTTGCCAGCGTACATATGCTAATTATGATCTGAAGAAGGGTCTCGACCTGAAACTTCAACCTTCCTGCTCCTCTGATGCTGCCTGGCCTGCTGTGTTCACCCAGCTCCACACTGTGTTATCTCTGGCTCCAGCATCTACAGTTCTTACTATCTCTGAGACAGAAAGGGTACTTTTTTTCAATAATTCATTCACTAACAGGATGAGGGCATCACTGGCTAGGTCAGCGTTTATTGCCCATCTCTAATCGCCCAGAGGGCAGTTAAAAGTCAACCACATTGCTGTGGGTCTGGACTCACACGTAGGCCAGATCAGATAAGGGTGGCAGTTTCCTTCCCTAAAGGACAATAGTGAATCAGATGGGTTTTTCTGACAATCGACAATGGATGCATGGTCATCATCAGAATCTTAATTCCAGATTTTAATTGAATTCAAATTCCAACATCTGCTGTGGCCGGATTTGAACCCCTGTCCCCAAGACCATTACCTGGGTCTCTCGATTCACAACAGACCATTAAATTCCCAATTGAGCAATTATATTCAATGGATACAATTGCAAATACAATTTGAATAAATTTGAAATACATAAATTCAGATGAAAGTACTTTTAAAAAAAATACTGCATTTGGAGAAGGTGAGAACATCACACTATCACTTTCTCACTGAAATGGTCATCATCAGGAAAATGGGATTGATTATATTAATAGATGGGCTTAGTACAGGAATTAGGACAGTTACAACAAGCCCAGTACAAAAACACTGATATCTTTTTGTTTTGAAGTAGACATCTGACCTTTGGTTTAGCTTTAAGATTTCAAAGAGGACATTTGCAAAGTTCAAAGGTCAGTTAAGGGGACTTTCTGACAAACTGTACAAACTGAGAACAGAAGTCCAGAACCTTGCCACCACCAGAGGGTAGCAGTATACTCTGTCTTCTTATTCAGTCTGGCTTGGGCAACATCATGACAGTTTATGATCTGTTGTATAGAACTTTCCAGAGAATTGCACCAAATAAAACGAGAAAACAGCTGTTCCAGTTTCGGCCAAAGCTCTGTGGAGATGTTCCTTTCCTCTTTTGAAAAAAGGAAATAACATCTGCAGAGCATAGTTTGATTATGATGAGGCCATGTTACCCAGAACATGTTACGAGATCTGCTATTCTTCCCCAATGGTTACAGGTATTAATATTCCAGCCCTCTGTATTTCGCCATAGTACTGCATAGTATCGTTCAGAACACTTAGCAGAAGATGGTGTTCATCAACAGATGTTAACGTTGAAAAATAGGTAATAATTACTTTTGTTTGGCAGGCTAGTGCATAAGGTACATGAATAAAACTCAAATGATTTTACTAGATTCAATAAAAAAGGCCATTACTTGTTACGTTGAATTTTACAGTCTACAAAAGCAATAAAAGAGTTTATAGTGTGACAACAAAACATACAAGCTAAAGGAGATCTTTGGTTCTGATTGACTTGTGATACTGAAAAGGCTTCATTGCGATGGTATTCTTGGAATGGCTGGCCAAGGCTGCTTTGCCCTGGTGTGTGTGGTTGTGAGGTAGGTTCAGATTGTTTTCCCAAACAAAATAGACCATCGATGTTCACTGTATAACGCCAGGCATGAGACACCGCTGTGGAACCCTAGCCCAGAGACCAACTCTTTGCCTTTAGCAGGGAGGTGGGGTGAGCGAAGAAACTGAAGCAGACAGAAAAGGAAAAATCAGCAAAATTTGCGTTACCAAATTCCACGATTTTGATGTTCTCCTGTTCTGGTTTCTTTACAATGATAGATTTCTTCTTCGAGAGCCTTACTTGCTGAAGCAACGCCCTTTGTACATCTCGGGAAGTGTAAGTTGTCCCTGGGAGGAATATGGAACATAAAAAACTGATAAGTAGTCAGAATGTAACTAACTAAAAGAAAGGAGTGACAAAAAATGCCCTGTTTTGCTTTTCTCATGTGGCTGAGCGGTATAGGTTGCTGCATCAAATACGTACGTGGGTCAAAATGGACATCGACAATGGTGCGCACAGATTTGCTTGCTCCCAGACCACGAACTCGGACACTCTTAAAATCTTTCTTCACATTTGAGTTCCGCAAGAGTTCTTCCAGCTGGATGAAGTTGAGATTGCGGGGCACATGGATAAACAATCAGATGTTAGAAACAATCCAAAGTTGGCTGAAAATAATGCAATTAATCAATTCCTCTTCAGAAATAGCTGAATCCCTGTTTGTACATGTTTCTCAACTAGTGCTCTGTGAAACTACTGCCCAGTATTCAGTAAAACAGTGACCGTCGCACCAGCCCACTGCATAGTGCAACCAAAATAGGATGGAAGGGAAAAATCAGAGGACAAATTAACTTGCAAACATCTTAGACTTTTCAAAGATGAAATAAAGAGCAATAATAGTGAATGTCTGCAGTAGATGGTGCCATTTGGGAACCAGGGATAGAGAAATGGAGGAAACTCCATTTCCACCATGAAGCAGTTTTAAGTTTGTTTTGAAACTCAAAAGCATGTACTGTTTTGTTAAAATAAAAGCTAAACACTAAGGATGCTGGAAATCTGAAATAAAAGCAGAGCGTGCTGGAAAAACTCAGCAAGTCTAATCATAATCTTAATGAAAACCGAAAGAACTGCGGATGCTGTAAATCAGGAACCAAAACAGAAGTTGCTGGAAAAGCTCAGCAGGTCTGGCAGCATCTGTGAAGAAGAAAATCAGAGTTAACATTTCGCGCTTGGTTAACTCTGATATAATCTTAATGAAGTTAGGCCTGCTCAGTTAATATCCATATAGTTGGGAAGAAAATTGTCAGTTGTCAATCAAAAATGTTGAAATATTCTAAAACACTAAATTTTAAAAAGCTGGGCTTTTTGCTGTGTTTATGTCATTACTGTGCGAAGTAGTTTGACTAAATAGCTGGCTCTGCTACTTTGCTGGGTTCACAGAAGGTTTTGAGTCTGACATGACTCTTTTTCAAAAATGTTCGGAACACCTGAAAGTGTCACATAAACCTTGAAATGTAACTTTGTTTCTCTCGATGCCAGGCCTGCTGAGTTTCTCCAGCACTTTGTGTATTTAAAGCTGCATATGTTACTTCTCCACAAATTGGCAATTTTACAATTTACTTTACTCCACAATAACGGCAGCAGTAGTAGTGGACTCAATGGGGCTAAATAGTACGCAGGGAAGGTAATGCATTTGCAACACTTTGTGGTGGAAGAAGAGATTAACCACAGTATTCCACAGCATAAAACTCCAATGAATAATTCTCAATTAATGAGAGAATAAAGAGAGCTGAATGTGGGCCAATATATTCCAAAGCATGGCCAACAGATCAGCCTGGGAAGATGAAATAAATCCACAAGTTGTTGGTCACTTTTCAGAAACTAATGCACTCCAAAACTTTGCAAGACTAGCTTGTCATTCCTGGGAATGGACAGTTTTTTATTATTATTATTACTAAACTTTACACACTCCTTGAGCTTCCTTGGCCTACTTGTTTGGTAAAAATTAAAAGGACAAGGGCATAATTCATCAGCTGCCAACCGTCACTCACAGCACTTTCAATACTTCGAGCTGTTTCGCCAAACAGTTCCGACTTGGGATCGTCCATCTCCGGTGTGTAAAAGAGTTCTTGACCCTCAACCTCTTCCAAAATGAGAACTCCTTGGAATATCTTAGTCGCTATTGAAAGCAAAATCACAGTGGGAAAGCTGGCGTTAATCAGTGCTCCCGTCAGCATCATTAAACAAGGCTGCATCACTGGCTGACATAAAAGTGAATGGTGGGTTGGTAGTGCCAGTCTGAGGGTTAGTAAGATGGTTATATTCTTTGAATTAGTAGTTCAGAGGAAGCTTGGAATAGGTGCACATGTAAATTTGGTTCATAACACAATACCATAAATACCAGATGTTACCACAATACCAGCTGCTCCACAGCTCCAAACTATTGAGGTTGGCAAAAGGTTAAGTAGACAAAGAGAAAGAGTCGTTAGAGAAGAGGCAGGTTTAAACTGGCAGGAAATTAATAAAGAAATTAAATTTCTAGAGCAGTCACTTTTTCCGTAGAAATTAAAACATACTTTGCATCAGTGATATTCAGATTCTGCACTTACATGCAGGAATGAATACATCACTGATTGATTCAATTCCTTCCATTATATGAATGTCAGCATTTACTTAAGTTCCTTGATTGGAGATTTATGGAGAGAAAGAATTTCCAACACATTTGTCCGCAATGAATGCAAAATCTATAATTTTCAGAATAAGAAAATCTATTTACCGGCACAATGCTCTCACTGATTTCATGTCAAAATCTATCTTCAGAGAACTTTTATGAATTTTGGCCTGCCTGTGTAGGCTGAGAACATGCATATAATTGAGAAGGAAAATAAATTGTCAGTTCTCAATCAAAAATGTTCAAATATTCTAATAAACCAAATTAAAAAAATTGTTGTTTTGTTTGCTGCTTTTATGTCATTATTGTGCTAAATGTTTTCATTAAATTGCTGGCTCAACTAATTTAATGCTAAATGGGTTCACAGGCAGTTAAGATAGTGCACAAAAAAATTCAACTTCATTAACCAGTGCAATAAAAAGTGAGCAAGTTATACCCCATAGATCTATCACGTATTTTTGTCTCCATATTGCTACAGCTACTTTCATTCTTTGGAATTTGTGTCCAACAGCCAATTTTTAAGGCACTAAGCACTTGAAATGTCATAAAGATTAAGGTTATGGGCTATGTGTTGGAAAATAGGACAAGTGTGGATGTAGAGTAGTTTTGTCAGTACAGACTTGATCGGCCAAAAACCCTCTTTCATACTACGGGATTCTATGAAGACTAAAACTTTATGTCGACATGAAAGCACTCTGTGTTTGATCAATGCGCACAGGTAGTGGCAAGGTATCATCACATTCCATTGAAAACAAATCCCCGGAACATTGCAACTCACCTAACACACAGCATTCTCAGAAAGCCCGACAGCGTGACCTGCCCCTGCAGTTGTGTCAATAGCCTCAGGCAAGTACGTGCATTCTTCAAGGTACTTACGGGGACAGTTGGTTCCTTCACCATCCACAGACGGTGTTTTTCCATCAGGGCAGCAGCCGAACTCTGTGTTATCACACGATGACCTTTCAATTGGAACGGGTGTTGGTTCAGCTATGGTCTCATTGGAACCTACAAACAACACAGTATGACAACAAAGACAACGAAGCCGTAACTTAAGTCAGTTGAATACTGAACTCCAAATATTAGATGCTGTTAAAGGCATCTTTTAAATTCCTTAATAAGCTGACAAGTTTATTAAGGAACACTGGATTGGGTAGTCCCATGGACACACACTAAATTACACCCTGAAGCCAGCTATTTTAACATTGATATATACTGCATTATATATGCTGTCCACACATTAAAAGGTAAAGTCGTCATCATCCTAGTAGACCATGGCTGTTCTCCCATTAGACAGAGATGATTAATAGTTGTTTAAATGAGGGTCACTATGCCTCAGGTGAGGGGAGAGGTTGAGAGGGAAGATCTTTCTGGTGACCTCAGCCATTGTGGAAATTGAACCATCCCTGGTGCCAAACAGCCAACAGGGTTAACTCAGCACCCATTGTCCACATATTAATGCTACAACATATGACAAACCAAATCCCTTTCACGTGTCTAAACCCTGATTATATTAATTCATTCTTCCACATGACATGGATAGTGAAACTAACATTAGCTCATGAATACTTGACACAAATTATATAAAATTACTTTGCCCACTATTTTAAAAGAGGGATTAACAGGTTAAAAAGATACATGGGTTAATGCCATAAAACAGTGGATAAAGAGATCTTGAATAAATCAGCACAATGGCTCATATGGCTCTTTCTGTGCTGCTGAATTCTCTGATTAAACATTTGGATGGTGCAGTTTCACAGTTTTAGACCCTAATCTTGAGTGCTTTGTAAGAATTAAGTTCAATAGACACAAGGAGTGGTCCCTTTATCTAGCATTTGTAAATGACACTTCACAGAAAATGGGTTGCCTTGACAACAATAATCTTCCACAATGTCATGAGGTCACTGGTAACCACACACACCAACTCGATAGGATTGTCATCACAGTCACTTACTTAGTATTCAGGACACTTAAATTATTTTTCCAATGAATCCCGTTGGTGCAAATAAAGAATTTGGTATAATTTTGTCCACAAAAGAGCCTCACAGGATAAACCCAACATAAGGCATGAAATATTTAGTTGTATTAGTTTGCTTTGAACAATATCATGTCTGATGAATGATACTCATTATTGGCTTTTAATATATATTCAAACTAAAATTACTTGAAAAAAAGCACTCAAATTAATATTTGCATTGTCTTTGAGTTTCAATCTTACATTTTGAGTTTCAGTTTACAGCCATCAGGGATTGGCCAAAAGCAAGTACGATTGGGGTGGGGTCTCAAACGTCTGACTATATGTTGCTGGAAGGACTGATTACTTTCAATAGCAGATATTTCTTCCAAGCAATTTCCTGTTGAAAGACTTCAATTTAGTAAGTGGCCAATGACTCTACTTTGTTAATTCTAGGAGCATTAAGAGCAATTTAGGCAACAATGCTATAGTTTGTAGAATCTTTGTTTGACGCTTTACTATCGGATGATCCATGAGACTAATATTCAGGTTACGCTAGGTAAAATGTGGCCTCAGGTCGCACTAGATACACAAGTACAATTCCCAAAGTGCCACTTTGAGTTTCTGTCACTTATTTTGTTGGATCAGGCAAATATCAGGCAGATACTGAGCAGTTCTTTTATACATCACCTGGTCCAGTTTTGATTGCCTAAGGAGGTCAGAATTGAATGTTTATCCTCAAATTGACCTTGCTTTCATTTAATCTGTTCTTTCACCTCCCCCAGGAGACCCCTTGACATTGGTGGGTAAGAAGTATATATATCAATAAGTAAGGAATCACAAATTGTCATCAGATGGGCTGGATTCACCAGAAAGTCTTTACCTGTTGAGCACCGTTCATGCCTCAGTCTTTGTAATTATTGATCTATAATTGTACTTTTCAAATACAATTAGCAGTTGTAAGACTTCACATGTAAAGTGGCAGCATTACAATTGATGAATCTTTTGAGTACAAATATTTGCAAATCTCGGACTAGAGTTATGTTTACAAATTAGATCAACCATACTGAATTTAACTTCCTCTCTAGATCCAGCCAAACTGAAGAGCTCTTCAGTCTCAAAGGTGGTGAATCATTCAGACTCTCAACAGGACTACATGGTGAAAGACCATTAAAAAATGAGGAAACTCTTGGTAAGAATGGTTGAACTTTCCTCTTGCCACCTTATGCCACCAAATTCAACCTTTCTTTTGGAAGGGAGGTGAAAGACTAAATGAGATTGGCTTTAAAGGTTATACCAATGTGTTTGTTTCAATATATGCCAGGCATATCATTCTACTTCCACACTCCATGCCGCAGTCCATAAGAACCAAACGCTCTCATGCATCATTGACCATTTTACCAACCATAGTCAATTCACATTACCCGAAGGGTCTACTCCACTAGCTTCTAGATCACCACTTGCTTCAAGATCTGTATCCCCACTGAAACCCCCACTGCCTGACTGATCAGGGGGTTCAGATGGAATGACGGATGTTGTAGGCCGGACAGTGGTTAGGTGGGCAGTGACAACAGGACGTCTGGTTATCGTGGATGACTTGGATCTGACATATGATCTTGTGGTATGTGCAGGCCATGCTGTGGATCTAGGAGTGAGCTTTGCTTCAAACACTTCAGAGTCCTTTTCAACTCGCGCGGTCAATATGGTGTCTTCCCTTGTTGAAGATATGACTGTTGATGGGGTCATTTTCGACCATTTGGTTGTCTGAGGAGAGTGTGTGGTAGGAGGAATGGTTGGTCTCGATGGAGTTCCTGTATGGAGAGGTGAGATGGTTTCTATAGAGTTACAGAAGTAAATGAAGGTATGTTTAGGAAAGCACCAAAACAAATATAGGCAATGGCACGCTTTAAGAATTGGACCCTCAATTAGAAGCCCCTTTATCCTGAAAACTAAACATATTTTAAGCTTTGCACACAAAAACAGCTCAGTTTGATAATTTTAAAAAGCAGGTTAGTAAACCTAACTTGTGACAGCTCAAGTCTTTTTGCATTCAGTCTTTAACTCTTTAAAACTGAATATTCAATGTGATTTTCACAAGAGACAAGATGGTTAAGGTTAACTACAGCAGAACAGATGGTTTTAAATTATTAGCCCCTGAAAAGGCCCCAGAATAATGAACCGACAGATTTGCAGCTCAACAAAGCAACCATTATTTTACTTGCTGTTGCTCTCAACAGATGATCACTTTTACACATTGGTGACTATCACAGCATGCAGGTTGTGGGCACTGTCAGGGCATTGCAGGAGTCGATGTGTGACAATGGACATTTGACCTGGCAAATATAGCAAGTTAAAGACAAAAAAACTAGATACTTAAACACAGCACCAATTGTTTTTCAGGGGAAATCTAAAGAGTTAAGGGAGCTATATATTATGCTTTGTACTTAACAGCTGTTACACTTCCCGAAAGCCAAAGCAGTAACTGGCTTTTTTCTGCATCAATGGCCTTTATGGTCATGTAACCCAAGGCTGCCATTCCCCAACCATATTATCACAGGACAAAAGTCAGTGTCTTCCAAGAGATGGGCACTGACAAAGTGCAGAGCAGGAGGAAATGTGATTTTGGAAGTCACACAACGAACACATTCACACCAGGTTACAGAATAGGAATCTTATACTCCTGACATATGCAACAAAGCATGTGAACTTCGATTGTCTCGGTCCAAATTGTTTTCAAAATCTGGACACACTTTAGTCTCGGAATTTGCTTCAACTTTTAATTCCATTGTTAACAGCTGCACACATGATTTATTCACACTGCAGTTCTCAGAGGGTGAAAGAGGAAATGACAGTATCTTAATTTACAAAAACTAAAGGGAAACCAGCTAGTGCATTTACTGTAGCACTGTCTCATGCACTATTTACTGAGTACTTCAATAATTGTGGTTCTCAGAACAACTGGTGCAAAGAACTGCAGATCTGACTAGGGTCTGTAAGAGAGTAATTGTTTATTTAATTAGTGAAACTTTTAATAAATACTGCAAGTGCAACAGAATAGAATGGTAATATGCAATAACTTAGTGATATACGGGCTCAGTTATACTGACCAATGCGGAGTAGAGATTGTGTGTCGTGTGCAACCAAGACTTGGTGGTACTCTCCAACCCTCAACCAACATAGTGAATAGATGCACTGCCCATTATGGACTGAGCCATGTGAAACAAGCACGATCCCAAGTTCAAGTCTTTGGTCTTAGTTAAGTTATAGAATCCCTACATGTGGAAGCAGGCCATTTGGTCTGTCAAGTCCACACTGACTCTTCGAAGAGCATCTCACCCAGGCCCTCCCTATCCCTGTAACCCTGTGTTTCCCATGACTTATTTACTTAGCCTACACATTCTGGACACTATGGGGCAATTTAGCATGGCCAATCCACCCTAACTTGCACATTTTTGGACTGCGGGAGGAAATCAGAGCACCCAGAGGAAACCCACGCAGACACAGGGAAAGTGTGCAAACTCCACACAGACAGTCGCCTGATAGTGGAATCGAATCCAGGTCCCTGGCACTGTGAGGCAGCAATGCTAACTACTGACCCACCATGCCACCCAGAGCTTTCTGGTTTCAGCTAGGCAAAAGTTGGGGCACTCCGAAATTGCCTCAAGATTTATGTGCACAAGAACTGGGCTCAATTGCAATGCCTCTCCCATCTGAATAGCAAAGTAACGGAAGAACCTGCTGACACCAATAAAACACAAGTGATGTGGGAGAATGTAAGAAAAATAAACTTAAAATAAAAATACTGGAAGCTATTTACATCATGACTCAAACTCCTTTGTATTATTATCTTTAAGATAATCCAATGATTTTTTTAAATAAAAGACATGGGGGTGGCATGTGTTCTGTAAGTGGGAGTGATGATCAAGTGCTAAAAAATTTGTTAACATGCATCATATCACTGAGAAATTCTATTCTTAACGGTAAATTCACCCTTGTTGCTTTTCCAGTTGGGTGTCACATTCAAAGGGATCACTTGTTGGCGACAGAATTTTAATACAGTAGCACCGACTTCTTAAGCAGCACTCGCTTCAAGAATAGCTCTCTACTACTGAATTTATTGATGAATTTTATGAACAGTTCTCTCCAGAGAGCCTTATTGACCCTATTTGACTACTGCATCAAACCCAAGACCATCAATGTATCTGCTATTCACTGACTTGTCAAGTTATATCAGACTCGAAACATTAACTGTTTCTCTCTGTGCAGATTCTGCCAGACGTGTTGAGTTTCTCCAGCACTTTCTGTTTTTAAGTAACTGACTTGACTCCCTGTACTTGAACTCATTGTATGTTCGGGCTCCACATTTACACGGAACGCTTTCTTCTGTCTCACAGCTCACACAAATTCCCACTGCCTATCCGAAACTGCAGGACAAAAGCTGGCTATCTCTACATATAATTTCAGAGCAAACTGACGTCAGTGACTGAAGACAAAAGAATCCCCTGAATATAAGCCCATTCTTTGAAAACATATTTGTGCGATGATTTCAGCATTGCTGACCAGAGTCCTCGCTGCTGATTTGGACAGGTGCATTATGTGGTGTTAACATCTTAAGATTTATTTAGCATGGTAATTGCTTGTTTGGTTCCATACTGAAAACAATTCCATTCCAAATTAATTTGCATCAGAGTTTCACCTGGTTAACACAACCTCCCATTGTACTAGGTTACTGTGAAGCAATACATTGGCACCTCACTCATTCTGTCTTTTTTGCCAACTTCAAATGCATTCTTCAATATCTGAAAGCATCTGTTATATTGGCACTCTTGTCATTTGGGATCCAGGAATTGTAGATGCAGTGGGGTAAGCTTTTTGCTTCTCTTGCGTGAGTGTCAATTTGGCAGAAGGACACGTCAGGTCATTGTAGACCCCCTGACCTATATTGGTGCCAGCAAAGCAGATTTTACAGGTGGCAATGGAACCCCAAGATGTTAAGGGCAGGTGGAACAGGGGCGTGTGTATCATTCAGTCTTTGAAACGTTGCACCTCATTTTCTGCCTGGGTGTCCTGCAACCTTTTGGACTCCATATTGAGTTCAATAACTTTAGGGCTTGTGCTCTCCCATGTCCTTACCCCGACCCCCACAACCAGGCCTTGTTACCACATACAAAAACAGAAATTGCTGGAAAAGCTCAGCAGGTCTGTCAGCATCTGTGGACAGAAATCAGAGTTAACGTTTCAGGTCCAGTGACCCTCCCTCAGAGGACGTGCTGAGCTTTTCCAGCAATTTCTGTTTTTGTTTCTGATTTAAAGTATCTGCAGCTCTTTTGGTTTCTTGTTATCACATAGTCTGCTGTTACACACCACCTATTGTCAGCCTCTAACAGTCCCCATTAACAACTATTCACCCTCCCAGCCTGATCGTTAGCAACTCCTTTGTCTGTCCAACTGTCTTTCTCTCTCTTTGGGCTCTATCCTATCGTTTACTCCCTACCCCACCACCTCCCTATTTTCTGCATATAAACTGACGTTTTCCCAGCCACCATCAGTTCTGAGGAAGGGTCACTGGACCCGAAACGTTAACTCTGTTTTTCCCTTCACAGATGCTGCCAGACCTGCTGAGCTTTTCCAGCAACTTTGTTTTTGTTCCTGATTTACAGAATCTGCAGTTCTTTTGGTTTTTATTTCCTTTGTCTGTCTAATTGTTCTTTTCATTCTTTGGACTCTATCCCCACGTATTGTTTACACCTTATCCCCTCCCCCACTCTATCTTCTGCATAAAAACCAACATTTTCCGACCTACCATCAGTTCTAAGGAGGTGTCACTTGACCCGAAATGTTAACTTTGATTTCTCTCCACAGACGCTGCCAGACCTGCTGAGCTTTTCCAGCAATTTCTATTTTTGTCTCTGATTTACAGTATCTGCAGTTCTTTTGGTTTTTATTTTGAAATGTTGATGCTGCTCGGGAGGGACAGGAACTGCATTCATCATGCAAAGGGCCAAGGGAAGGGGATCAGTGCAGAAATACTGATCTCTCAGAAACCAAACTGAATGAGCGCTAATTTAAGAGCTGGTTAAAATGTGCACTGACCAGTATCATCACTTTCTGAAAAGTCTGCAGTCCGTATTCAGTCTCCACGCAAACAAGGATCAAGATATTGCGAGCTTTCTCGCTCCAGAAGAGGAAACAAGCTGCCTTTTTAACCCAGCAGACTCAATTTGAATCCACCCGCGGAGTAAATCCAACTCAGGGACTTTCAGGCATCTTTGGAACTTCCCGCAGAATTCCCGCCCAATCCCTTCATTGTTACTTTCCAACATAAAATATCATGGTGTGCTTGACCAACTTCCTTACCTCGACAAGGCCCTTGGTGTGTGATTGTGATCACAGTGCCTTGGCGACATCCAATAGATTTGAGCTGACATTCATTTGCGTAGGTTATGCCATCAGAGCCACAGACCTGATATTGTCCAAGGAACAAATAAGCAAGGGTTGGACAAAATTAGAATTGCATGCTCAACAACATAGAAACACTGGAAAAGGAACAGGCCACTCATTCCCTCCATTACATTCCAGCATTCAATTCAATCTCAAAAGCTTGTCACGTTTCCTCTCTGCTCCAAAGAAGCATGAGGTTATCCCTGTTTCTCTCTCCACAGATGCTGCCAGAGATTCTCCAGCACTTTCTTTTTTTATCTCAGATCTCCAGCATCTGTGGTATTTTGCTTGTATTCCCTGAGATCCTGACAGGTATGTTCCTGAAATCCATGCAACCACCTCTGTCCCATCACCACTTGGGACACTGGGCCAGCAGATGTCGATGTATCTCAAACCCAAAATGTTCCAAATGACTTAATGCCCAGCAGGATTTTGGGGAGAATCAAGCTCCAGAATTTTCTGAAATTTGTGGGTGTCATGGGCTAGGCAAGCATTTATTGCCCATCCCTAATTGTCCAGAGGGCAGTTCAGAACCAACGCCATTGCTATGGATCTGGGGTCACATGTAGACCAAACCATGTAAGGACAGCACATTTCCTTCCCTAAAGGATATTAGTGCATCAGAAGGGACTTTATGACAGTGGGGGCATACTCAGCTTTTTAACCCAGAGCATTATTTTTACTGAATTCGAATTTCACCATCTTCCACAATGGGATTTGAACCTATGTCTCTCCCCAGAATATTAGCATTGTCGCTCTAGATTACTAGCTTGGTGATATTACCATTGCCTGCCCATTCGTGAACCTTTTCTCACAAAAAGGATGCTTCCTGAACTCAAAACGAGAGCGATAAAACTTCAATTCTACAATAATTACCATTTTTTTCTGGATTTCGCCACCAGGGAGATTGTTCCTTCACATCCATCCAATCACACCCCTTCACCCTTTTAAATACCTTGATTAGATCATGTCTGATCTTGCTAAATTCAAGCCTGGTTCAGTGTATCCTCATGGTTTAATTCTTTAAATCCAGTTATTATTCTAAATGTACTCATTCTAAAGTCAACATATCCTCACTAATGAATGCGATACTCCAGATTGGGTTTCGCTGAGGATCTGTATAACTGAAACATTACTTGCCTCAAACGCATGTAAATACAGTCTGGTTCAAGCAGGAGAGGTCTTTGGTTTGTTTGGATAGAATCTAACCCCAATGTTTGTTTGTTTCTTTGATATACTATACAGATCCAAAGTGCTTTTGTGACGATGTATGTACGTAAATATTTTTTATGAATAAAGTATATTTTTGAAATAAAAAAATTGAATTCCAATACCCTTGACATAAAAGAAAATACTTACTTTTTTTAATTACTTTTTTGTGTGTACTAACTCTTAGTTGTATGTAGACACTAACTTTCTTTGCTTCTTCACCGAGCCCAGCCTCTCACTAAGTAGGAAAATATCTAGTTTCAGATCTGAAGCAGCCAGCTTCACACATTCCATCCCATCCCTTGCCAAAGCCTTTAGCAATCAAATTAATCTAGTCACTATGGAGGTTCTGCCTTCCATTACGTAGGCCTGGATATTCCCTCCAAAGTGTAAAGATTCCAATTTCTGTTCGGGGTAGGGGATGAGATGGGTGCTATCCAAAGTCAGACCCACTGCCCACAGAAATGGCACTGGGGTGGCCACAGGGACTGTCAAGGCCAGAAGTGAGCTGTGGTCTGGGCTTGTAAGGAAAATAATACAATAAAAACATCTCTGTCCATTCCCCAAAAACACTCACTCGTACCCTCTCCATGTTGACCTATGCCTCCATCCAAGGTTCTTCTTACCCTGCATGCTAATCTATAGATCTGTACCCTTGCCCCTTGGCCCTTACTCTTATGCCAACTTAGTGCAATATCTATTCAACCCATGCCCGTCCCCAACTACCTCTTTTCCCTTGTACCATCCATGTGAACTCCTATCCACAACGGGCAGACCTCTGGACTCCTGCTGATATGAAATAAAGTTTTAATTGTCTACTAAGTATTGACTGTCCTTTTATCTTTAACGAAAACCCACATGCTACATTTAAAATTGTATCATCCATTTAATCTCTTCTAACACAAAAAATCTAATCATAGCCCCACAAAGACTACTTGAAGCTACCAATCAACTGTGAACTAACAGGCATCCCACTGTGATAATAATAGGTTTTGAAATCAGTCATGAAGCACAAATCCTATAATGATAGCCCTCAGGCTCAAGTTAACAGAGTGAAATAGCCAGCACTATTTTTTAAACTGCAGACTCTTAATGCCTCGACAGCTTGGAAGTTCCAAGGGGGGTTAAATGGTTTGACAGTTTGTCTGTTCCAATCAGCTTATTGCAAATCATGTCTACTTTTCATACATAATCATGTCTACCCTTAACAATCCAAAGGGCATTTTACTGTACCCAAAGGGCACCCTACCTTTCCTGAATGTAAACCTCAACTCCTCCAAAAAGGATCCTTTACCTCTTGAAAGAACTTGGAAAGTTTGGACCTTCTCGTGAAAAGTGTAAAGCATACAAGTTGTGTCTTGGATATCTCAATAACAAAAAATGAATCTGCTTAAAGGTCACTAAAACTTCTAGATAGATAGTTGCCTCCATGAATCACAGATGTACAATCTGCAACAAATTCTCCTTCTATTTTTTTCTCTCTGAGTGGACCTCTGAGGTACAAGTGTAGCATCAACTTCTAAAACAATGGAAGTCAATGTGTTGGTGTACCGATCGAGATGTAGCGAACCTGTTTCAAGTTCATTTGCAGCTCTGTCCCTTTTGCTCCCCTACTTAGCTTAATTTCAACCAGTCTTTCTTTGTGACCTGTTTTTAAGATTATCTTGTACCACCAATCTTTTGTGTCTCTTCTGAGGGAAATGATGCAGAGGGTACTGAAGGGAAGGTGTAACAACTATGGGGGTCATTTCAGGTGCCAATGTGCACTACAGAAGTGATGTGCAGGATTTGAAATGGGCTAATTTTACAATGTCACATTCCTAGTGCATGGTTTTCTCCGTCAGGTACAGAAGAGGGCCATTCAGCCTGTCATGCCTGCATCGACTCTTCAAATAAGCATTGTTACCTAATGCCCACTCCCTTTCTCCACATACCCTGTTTACCTGGAAAAATACAGAAACTGCTGGCCTGAATTTCCAAACTGCACTCTGATGTTCTAAACTCCCATAACAGGAACACAAATGTATAGAATTGGTATAAAGGACATAGTGTTCTCTGATTTTGGAGTGAAGGTGAAACAAGGATTGCACCAACAAAGCCTTACCTTAGAGTTTTTACTTTCTGGACAAACAGGAGGGGGGCATTCACAATAAGCACGCTCATTACTCTCCACACAAGTTGCTCCATATTGGCACAGAAGATCAGCACATGATTTGGATACAGATGGGTCTGTGAGAAAGTGAGAAATAAAAAACTTACTGAACTCTCTCTCCTCGTTAACTTCTTGAATAATTTTGAAGTATTTCTCACTAACGCATCAAAGTTAGAAGGGAAAATAATTCTTTTACGTGGTGTCACGAGGTATAGAACAAACAAAAGACCAAGAAACATCAATGCGGGTCCTCTGAAGCTGCGATTAGAGAGAAGATAGAGTTCCCCATTTACTGCTCCTCAGAAAAGTGCCTCTCCATTACACCCACCTCTCAATTCACATTTCTCAATGTCCCTCACATCATCAACAGTTTGCTACTGAATTGCCCAACATTTGCAATTGTCATGGTGTTTCCTCTGGCTGGGAGTGATTGTTTGATTGAGTAATTGTTGTCACACGTACTGAGATACAGTGAAAAGTGTTGTTTTGCGTGCTGTGTTGCACAGGCAGATTGCAGCATACAAAGTGCGTCAGAGCGGTTCTGAAACTGGGAGGCAGGAGGGAGGGGGTTGGAGGTGGGCAGGGTACCAGAATAAGGGACAGGCCATATAGGATATAGATATGGAGGAATTTCTTCACTGAGGATGGCAAATCTTGGGAATTCTGTTCCAAATTCCAATCGACTCTCGATAAATCTTTGATTCCTTTTGCCTAACAAATGTCTACTTACCTACATTAGAAATATTTAGTGACCCTGTTTTCATTGCCATCTGAAGCAGAGAGCTCAAAAGTTGCACAACTCTTAGAGAAAAAAAACTCATCTCTGTCCTAAAAGGGAGACTATTAGCATTAAAACAGAGCCCCTTACTTACGGGTTGTCCCACAAGAAGAAACATCCTTTCCATATCTATCTTGTGAAGACCATTCAGGATATTATAAACTTTAATCAAGTCACCCCTGACTCTTCCAAACTCCAGTGGAAACAAACTCAGTTTGTCCAACCTTTCCTCAAAAGATTCTAGGTACGAGTCTATTAAACCTCCTCAGAACCATCTCCAATGCATTTACATCATTCCTTAAATAAGGAGACCAGAACTGCACGCAGTATTCAAGAAGTGATCTCCCCAATACCCTGTATAACTGAAGCATAGCATCCTTATGTTCAATTCCTCTCACTTTAAACAACAGCATTCCATGAACCTCCTTAGTTACTCATTTTACATGTATTTTAGCTCTTAGTATCTGATGCACAAAAACACTTAGATTTCTCTGTACCTCAGAATTAGGCAGTTGTTTTCCATTTAGGTAATACTCCACTTTTTTATTCTTCCTGCAAACTGAATAATATCACATTTTCCCATATTCCATCTGCCTGTTTAATGCCCATTCCTCCTTTTATGAATAGAGATTTTTGGAAACTCTTATCATCAAAGTAGTAAAACCTTGTGGAAGGTCCAACATTATCGATAGACGACTTATCTACACCAGTTTGTAGCCTCCTTCTGTTCTCTTTGCAATACACTTTCATTCCTGTCTTTGCGTCATCTGCATATCTAGCAACCACATCTTTGCTTCCACAGCTAAGACATTGATGAAAATTATAAGAAGCTGAGGCCCCAGCACAGGCTCCTGCAGGGACCATACTTGTCACATTCTGTCAATCAGAAATTAAAACAATAGTGAGTAATGCATGCTCCCTCATAGCTGTCAATCTTCTATCCATGCTAATTTGTTACCCTCTACATTGAGCTCTAACTATACGCAATACTCTTGTCAAATGCCTTCTGGAAATCCAAGTAGGGCTACAGGCTCTCCTTTGCCCACAGTGCATGTTCATCCTTCAAAGAATTCCAATAAATTGTTTAAACATAATTTCCCTTTTACAAAACCATGCTGACTCTTCCCGATTACCTTGAGTTTTGCCTCAAAGTAACTTATACTCTCTTTAATGATCAATTCTACCACTTTCCTCTTGACAGAAAAGCTAACTAGCCTTGGGTTTTCCATTTTCTGCCTCCCACTCCCTTTGTGAATCGAGATTTCTAGAGAATGATAACATTGATAGAAGAACAGTAGATAGCATCAATAAAGAAAGATTGAGATAATATCTTCAATCCATTGAACAGATGTTGAAAGTTTGAGAATGGATCTACATAATAGTATCATTGAATCCCTATAGCGTGAAAGCAGGCCATTCGGCCCATTGAGTCCATACTGACCCTCTGAAGAGCATTCCACCCAGACCTACACCCCCCCTACCCTATCCCTATAACCCTGCGCTTCCCATGTGCACCAATCCACCTAGCCAGCACATCCCTGGACACTATGGGAAATTTAGCACGGCCAATTCCACCTAACCTGCACATCTTTGGTCTGTGAGATGAAACCAGAGCACCCAGATGAAACCCATGCAGACAGTGGGGGAGAATGTGCAAACTCCAAACAGACAGTCGCCTGAGGGTGGGCCCCACTGAATGAATTAATGCTACAATTCTTAATGTTTGGCGGCTTCAGGGCTGTTAATCTCCTGTTTTTACCATCATGTGCCAAGTCAATGAAACTAAATGCCTCATGCTCTAAAACTCACTGAAATTTAACACCGGCAGGGCACCTTGTTTCCAATGCAGTCGTCTAAATTTTCAGGATTTTACAAGAAAGTTCTGTGTAAATTTTTCTGACAAGGCCTGTTAATGCTCTCACCTTCATCACAGCCATTTTGACCCAAGTTACTTCCATCTGGACACTGGTTGCACTTCATTCCAGTGATGCCAGCTTTACAAGAGCAAAGGCCAGTCATCTGCTCACAGTCATCCCGAATAGCCCCGACAGCATCACAGTTACAAGCTGTGCCAGTTCGAGAGGGAAATCAACAATGTGTTAGTGCAGGAAGATGCTGTCAGATTATTTCTGTTGTATCAGTGGCACATGAAATGAAACCAATAAAAGCTTTCAACTTCTCTGTTCTTGCAACATATTTAATTAAGAATAAGTCAATCATGTGATACAGCTTAGAAAGTCTGCTCTTGTCAAGATAAAGGCATCAGTGCCAGAGAATAAAATGTATTACCATTTTGACACATACAAAAAAAAACATTTACAGGCCAGTTATAGCATGGTTAGACCCAGCGTAAAGCTCCCTTTATTGTGCCCCAATAACAACTCATCTCTCACTCAAAGTGTTGTGACATTAATGGTCCCACTCTGGTGAATTTATGCCCTTTAAGGACCACACTAAAATTGATATTACCTCATTTCAGTTTAGGCTCTTTTTTGTTATAAAAAAAGGCAATATAGTCATCTTCTCTTCTGAAGGTATTGACTGTTATTGGGAGTAACTTCAGTAGTAGCAGTTTCACTCTCTCTCTTACCCTACAGACACACACACACACACACTCACACGCACGCACACTCACACGTGTGCACACATACACATGTGCACACACACACCCGCGCACACGCACTCACACATGGACACACACGTGCACCCACACACGCCCACATGCACCCACACATGCACCCACACGCGCGCACACACATGCACCTACACACGCGCGCACACGTGCACCCACACACGCACGCACACGTGCACCCACACACGCACACACACGTGCACCCACACACGGACACACACGTGCACCCACACACGGACACACACGTGCACCCACACATGCACCCACACATGGACACACACATGCACCCACACACACGC